TTTGCTTTTACTTTTTTTGCGTTTGTTAAAACATGCTTTGGTTACACACTCAACCACAAACCCCAAAATTTAAAACTCGCAGTAGCAAGTTGACAAAAGGAAAAGTAGTTTCTAAGAAGTTAATTTTACACTATTTAAAGAGCAAAACTTTCAATTTTTTAAATCAATTCTCAAAAAGAGGAGACCTTAGTAATCGAAATTGGTCTACGGATTATTGGCACTGGGGCGAAAAACTGGACATTCCGAAACTTTTCATTTATGGTGGAGCGTGCTGTAAACCGGCTCGTATTTTTTAGTCTATTCATATTTCTCTAAATCAGCTGACTTAGGCAACTCCGAAATGATGTGCCCTTCCGAGACACATTTGTTAAGGCCTCCCTTCAAAATGGGGTAAAAATGAATGGATGGACGATTGAGTATCAAACTGGAATTTGCATTCCTCGTTAGTATGCTTATTTTTGCGCTTATCCCTGACGAGGTGGCTCTAGGGAATGGGCTGTCATCGGAATGGGGAAACATGACAGGTAGCATTTTGATATTCTGCAGGAAGCACTAGCACCTGGTCGGGTGGCTAATTATGTCTGCTCGGTGAGGATAAAAGATTGCAGGAGTGGCTATCGCGCAGCATCTGTTTAAGGCGTTAAAATAACACTACGTTTAGTGTCACATGCCCTCAGATAAAATTCCTGTATGTGAACGTTTCTTGCATATGCATGCTGCAGGCGCTCACTGTGTCCCCGGGTCGTTGAGTCCGAAAGTTCAGCGGTTTTCCCACTCGAGGAGTCAAAGAGGGACGAGAATTATTATGCTCACAAATTTTGTTGACAGCTTCCTCTAAAGACTATATAATAAAAGCTCATTATTTGGGCTATTGACTATTAACGTAGCAGACGCTCAATGTCACGATGGTCTAGCAAAAATTTTTACAGTAATGAGTTAAAAAATTTTTTTGACTTTATCAAAGTGTGGTACCACCGTAGAGGAAAATTGTCATCTTACCTCATTTTACATTATATCTGTGATCACACTTAAGGCGCGCTCAATAGCTATCAAAATATCAATCAGCCCAAATCTTCCTCAAGACCTCAGAATAATCAGTTGGCATTCCTCTATGAAGCAAAGTATTTCCTAAAAATCTAATTATGTGAGTCAGAAGTGGCGTTTCTTAGTCTAAACGAAAAATGAATTAGATTTTCGCATAAAATCTAAAGAAATAATATTAGAATTCACATTCATTTAAAGAGCATATTGTGACAAATGTTTTAGGCTCTACAACTGCAAAAGCAGGTAGTCCGTCGACTTTGCTTGAACGGTGCACAAAGCTGATGTCAGTAAATTGATAAAGAACTTTACTTACTACCAACATACTGTAAAATAAATTGTCTAATTGAAAAACAAACTGTAATAGGGAAAGGCCGGTGAATGTTTGAACTCGATGTATTAAATTGAGTGAGTTGGGTTGAGGTCATTGGTGTGGTCACAAGAAAGATAGTATTTTAAAAGCACCGTGAAGTAATGCCGGATCAGCCTTCAGCAGAACTTCATCTTTTTTATTTCAAGAAAAGTCTTGCGAGCAGATTCAATTCCCGTACTAAATGGATCCTACAAGAAAACCCATTTCTCACAACAGTATATGTTGAAATGTTAACTCAACATTCTCGAATTCTCGAGAACATTTAGCTTGTAAGGCACAACTTACGTTTATTACTTTTGCCACAGATCATGTTGTCATGGAATAGTTGAAGCACGTCAGGGCGTGTGCTTATAGAAAAATTAGCTGATTGTTCGTTGTGTATGCGGTCCATTCCGACTTTCATAGAACGAAAATTCACACCTATGATTTTACTCCGTTGGAGGCACAAAGCCTTCAATAGCAAACATCATCATACGACTATATCTAAATTGATCATATCTAATGAAATTAATAAAAAAACTTTATTTTACGAGAATGCTGTGTACCAGAGACTAAGATCTCATAATATGTTAGTGAATATAGCTCCTAATTCTATTCCTTCTCTGTTTTTGCAAATACCAAGAACACTTTTATTTACAATCAACCATTCCTCCAAATCATCGAAAACGCCATGATGAATGCTAGAGGCCTCTGATTAAATGAAATCCAAGGTGACGGAAAGCTGATCCAAAGGCAAGACTACCCTGCATTGTTAGTGTACGTATCAGATCGGCTAGTCTGCGAGGCACTTCAGCTCTTTTTTCTTCTGTAAGTTCATTCAACTGCGGCTGTACAAACTTGCTCAATTAAGGTCAACGTTGATGTTGTTGTGATCGGGCCCTAGAAGCAGGTCGGACAGGGAGGGGTGGAAGGTAGAAGAATGTCAGCAGAGGCTAGAGCCGGGTCACTACTGCTGCGAAGTCGTGGGTCCAGCCAATGAAGAAAATAGATCCATCCTATCGAAGTGAACAATTGTAAAATGGCTGCTGTGATACCAAAAGTATACATTTGCTTGGATCGTTCGAACGTGTTGATGGCTGGTTTTTGAAATCATTATTGATAAAGGTGAGCTGAAATCTGCAGTAACCATTTTTATGATTGTAACACCGTACTTATTACAGTGACCAATAGATTACTGTACCAACAAGAAAATTTTTACTAGCATGCTAAAAACGGCGATTTTAGAATGGAATACTTATATATTCTTTTTAAATCTTCATTATAAAAGCTGTAATTGGACATTAGAGGTGGAATACCTTTCAGCAAGATGACGATTGATAAACCACATCTAAACTTCACGTAAATTCTATTTATCCCTCCCCTCAGTTTAGAGTTGAGAAATTTCTGCACACCAGCTAAGCCGTCGTCTCTGCTTGAGATACTGTAATTGATAGATAGTACTCATTTTTAAAAAGTCATCGTCGGGGTATTCAGGGGTAACTATGATAATGAAATTTTCGTTGTCTCTTGTTGCTTACCCTTCACATTATCGGTCAAGGATGTCGACTATTTATGAAATGCTGTTTCCTGGCAGAATGCGCGCTGCCGTCTTCAGCTGTTTTTCACCCCCTAGAAGCCTAGATGCTTTCGTAGTGGTGGTAAGTCGACCCTGACCAAACTCTGGGTTGTTTTTAACCATACTGAGATGTCTGTGACATCTCTACGTCGGCAATCGCATGGCCATTTCTACGGATCACCTGTTCAATCATCCTCAGTTTATTTGGATTACCGCAATTCAATTAGGAAAATATTTAACCAATCAATTTTGGGTGAATTTTAGACAACGATTTACTCACAATTCAGTCGTGGAAACGGAAAGTCTTGTTGTCATGGCTGCTTTTACACAAAATTTAACGCTAAGAGAAATTAAACGAGCCCAGATTTGATCGGGATAACCATTTAATTTTTATAACCTCATTATAGTGCAAGGTCAAGGAGGCAATTCGTGACCAAAGGGCGATTTCAATATGTTTTGATGGCCCCCAGTAGAATAAAATCCTCACTGGAGTACGAACAACAACTTACTTCATCACGGATGACTCCACGTATTTGCAACTAAAAACAAATTAGTTGTCAATCCGCAAGTGCTCCCACTATATTATGGATCGACGTTAGTAAGCATAAAGAAAAAATCTTTGTTCCGGATAGGTGAATCCATGATGCGTCAAACCTGCCGATAGAAAATAATTTGGTTCATCATTTTTACATTTATGTCAAACCATTAAAGTATCTTTAAATCGTTTACGCGTTCCTTGCTTGACACAACAGTTTCGTTAAAGATAGAACATCATTTTATAATTGGTTCGCACTTGAAAAGTTTGTTCTCACAGCACAGCAGGTCGTTCAGCCCCTTGAGAAAGACTTATGAATGCTAAACTAAACCTAGAGCGAAGAAACTCTTCTGCGAGAAGTCAAAGTTTTAGGGTTATCTAAAAGACTAAATTAACTTCAAATATATGGAAGAACATTAAGTTTGACCATGTCTGCCATCTTCGTGGGAGGTCCTGGTCAGCCCTCTTTAAACGAATACACCAGATTCCAAATGTCACTGTTGCCAACGTGTCTGCTATTTGTGATTTACTGCGCCTTGCCATTGTACGATGGGGTGGGGAGTTGCAACCACAGAGCCTGGGAAGGATATGGGACCAACCGTCGCCGTTGTGCCGACGCAACGGACCACACACGTTGAGGGAAGATGTAGAAAAGGGGTGTTGCGAATCTGATGGTGCTTTTTAAGCTCCTCCAAATATCACACCATATTGTGGTCTAGTGGACGATTAGGTGGGCGCGTTTGTACGCGTGCATGCGGAAGGCGCCTGTCAGGGCACACCAGCACTGTGGCGTTCGTAGGCTACGAATCTTGGTGGCGCGGTGTGCGGCTGTGTGGGTGGGGCAAATGTCATTTGTGCGATCATGTAGGTTGGGTCATCTTTGTAGGGATTCCATTTTTACGGTGCAGGCGTATTCCACATACAAAAACAAGCAATTGTCGTTCCTCCGAGGGCTGCTGTTAGTAGAAAAGAAATCGCCCTTTAACCAAATAGTTTATTTGGGGTTTAATGTCTCGCAGCTCACTTCAGCAACCATAAGGTTGTAACAATCAAGCTCGATTTCTCGCGATTTCTGTCCAAATTGTCACGATGCGATATGCTCATGAAGCGACATTGGCTAGACACAAAATATGCCCACAATAATTCAGATCTGAAGGTCTCTTCTACGAAGGAAGATATGCTCAAGTTTAATCAAAAGTTGCAGGCTTACGAGAGCAGTGTCAATTTTGGTCTTAGTGAGCAAATCAACTTTGTTAAGAGTAAAATGGTTACGTTTTTGGAGCAGAACCTCGGATTTGGTCCGGGAAGGGCCCGACCCTGGTGCGATCTGCTTTGGTTTAGTGCTGACCGCCGTATCGAAGTTTAGGTAAAACAACGATCAAATGCTCCATGAGAGCTAGTTTTAACCACAGAGTGATAGCCACAGTGAATGTAAAATTTTAATTAACATTTTTGACGTCCCTGCGCCTTGTACTAATGGGCAAACATTATGAAGCTTAATTGAAATAGATTGGTAAGCATAAATTAGAAAGTGGTTTTAATATTCCAGCTATGAGTATCTGAGTAAGAAGTAGTTTATTGCATAGGCTTGACTGAACGGAGTACAGTTTTATAATTAGTTTTTACCTAACTTGAAAATGGTATATCCTTAGTTTCTCAATTTCGCTAATAACATAATAAATGCAATGTTGATTCTCTTTAAAATACCAAAATCATGATATTTATGTTTGAGCAACGGGACTGTGATTTATGCCAATTAAAAAAGACGATTTCATTTATGCTCTTAAATAGCTAAGGGTTTTTCAATGTGAATGAATAAAGTTGGAAAAAAACATCTACTTCGAAATAAGTTGAAGCAAATGATTTTTATTTTACCTTCAAAACCAGTGTTTATGTGATGGTTGCATGAATTCCTACTCCCACATTTGTTTGTCACTGGTTTAGCGATCGAGAAACCGGAAAAGCACAGGTTTGGAAATTTTTCGGTTGAATATTACACCTAATTACTACAATTTATCACTGTATACAATGAAAAACATGGAGCATGCTACAAAATGCAGTCATGGTGTGAATTTAGAGCAAGTGTATTACGTACTTGTTTTATTGAACCCTTTAGGCGAGAAGCAGACAATATGTGCGAGCCTCGTGACTGTGCGGACCCCGTCAGCCCCTGAGGAGGAAACGAACTCCAAACCTATTTAACTACCATTCGCCGTACTCATTTCATAACACTATCCAATAAAAGATGTTGTCATCGAAACAGTCTGCTCGTTCCAAGTGTGTGGAGACAGAGGTGAAGAGAGAAATACTGAACCTGCTACATTGTAAACGCGGGTTAAGTGTAAAAGCCACTGTAATAGGGCTATAGAATGGCGGCTATTATTTTTAGTAGTTTAAAAGAGAAAGCACGAAAAAAAAATAATTTATATGGACTTCGCATGATGGCCTAAATGAAAATATTTCCCATCTATGTTAAGTGCATTTTTTGAGGTAGCTTGGGCTGTAAATCCAGTCAGAATACACACACAGTGAGGATGGTCTTGTATCACCCTCACTGGGTCCCTACGATGTAGGCATTGTGTTATCTACACGAATTCGTGCACTTCGTTAACTTTCGTCTGAAATAGCACTACTTTTTCCTTGAATAATTATTATTTGAAAACATTCAGAGGCAATAAGAGCTTTGCCCTTATTGACCCCATTTGTTCTCCTCTGCTCTGACAACCCATAGTTTCGCGGTTAGACCAACATCCTGTTGTTCTTGAAGCGCGGCGCAACTACTTCAGAACATGATTTGTTACAAACCCGGTGGATAAAATGATCACTAGCTTTTCGAGCTAAATGACATTCCTGGTTAGGCACTAACTGCATGGCCAAGGAAGATGTTTTCCCTTATTTGTAAACCTACAACACATAAAGCTAAAGTACAAAAATTAAATAAAGGAAAAGCGTAGAAGGAGTCAAATGGGAAACAAGGGAATACTATTTTTTTTAAGCTAATCCCTAAAAAACGGGGCCAAGCATTTTCGCGTTTCGATTCGGTGAAGCTGTTGTACCGTTGGACACCTAACCCCCTTAATCGCTTTACCTTATGTCTGGTTTACAATTTGCGAAACGATTTTGGGTTGGATCAAATTTGAGTGCAAGCATGCTAGCTGAGATCCCCTCTATCAAAATATTGTTCAATTCCACATTTGGAAATTCCTTATTTAAATAACATCCGTATAATTGTGAAGTCTACCTGAATATAGAATTTTATTGAATAGAGGTCCAATGTGTTTGCAACACTTAGGTGAATGGCTGATCATTCAGTTCCTCACAGTGAAGTTGAAGTAGATGCTGACTAAAGCATGGCAATGGAAATGGGTTAAGGTGAGTGATAAACAGTGCTTCAAATTCACTAGGGGAGTCATTAAACTTACTGCAAAGTCATATTGGAGCTAGTAGCAAAGCAGCCTAGGAAGTCAGGCAAGAGAGTGAGACTTGGCAAGACGATGGTTCCGTTGGAATCGGGGTCAGATGGTGTAAAGAGCATCTCTTTTAAGAGGATAACCACCTTCCAGCTTTACATTATTGGTCGGAGCTTATTTCTCTGTCACAAACCACAAAGGTATTGACAAGTTAAAAACCCTTATTCCTCTATTAGTTTTCGTAGCTTAATTTTTTGCAATGCATTTCATAGACTCTGGTCGTTATGGAAATGAGGACAATTGTGTCACTTCGTTAAAACAAATTTGCTTTGATTAGCCCTTTTTATCGAGGTGTTCCAAGCATACAAGATGATTTCCGCATCAGGAATCAAAGCGCATCAAGCTTTTGGAATTTTTAGAGAGGTAGGGCTTTAATGAGTTCTTCCATCTTACCTTTCTATGAGATTAGCTTCGGACTGAAGCACCTATTCTTATCTTTCCTACTGATCAGTCAAATAGTGTTGTAACATGGGTTTAAGCACATTCGAGTAACATGCACTGGTTTCTGCATTATAAAGGCGTAAAAGACTTTGTCTTTATCGTAAATTAACAAACAACCTGTTGTTCTGCTTCCTTTAGGAATACCTAGTTGTGGATAATCAAACGCGCTACACCTCTAGACGTTTAATGGTTGTGAAATTAATCATTTGATTGACCAAAGACTGATCACCATAATGCCAATTGCCATTTTCGCAATAGGCCGTCTAAGTTTTGACAAAGCACTAAACATTAAATGTGTTCTCATAATTAACACTGAGATGGCAAATCAATCTATAGCAAAGGTTTCATTATATTTGCTTTCTTTTCTACAATCAAGGGCTTACAGACATTTTGTTAATTTATTTACAGACTTACTACCCTTTGTGGTGACTTGTAAAGTTTTCCTATCAAACTAATACTTAATCCGTTTCTTCTCAGCACTTATACTACAAAGGCTCTAATTTTCTTCCTTAGAAGTGACACCATTTACTTATCATACTTCAATTTTTACTTATGGTACCCTACACAGTAACAGCGTTTCGGGATTAATGCAGAACGCTTATTCGAGATTGGTAACATTATGCAAAAATAGCGGGAAATTTTCCCACGCGTAAGTGTTAGATGAGTGTACAGGCCACTTTGTTCAGGGGACTTCGTATGGACTACACACCAATGGTTGAATGAGAACGGAGGGGCTAATCAGTCTCGCCTTAATAAATAGTTATTTCGGCCTACAATCACCACCCAATTGCTTTGGAGGAAGCGAAGGAATTATTTTACCTGTTAATAAAGCCATAGTTCATAATCTTTCGGAGGGAACTAACAGACAGGTCGAGCATCCGACCAAGCCACAAGCAATGGTTCCTCCGCTTTATTTAAGTGACTGGTGATTTTATTTTAAAATGGGAAGATTTATCAACCAAATAACCCGTTTTTAATTTCCCTTGTTTATGACTGTAAATCTTCCTTTAGCATTTCAAGATAATCTACAGTATTTTCATTGCCCTTTGTTTGCATCCACCAATTTCCCCTCAGTTAATACATGAAATTAAATTTAGTGAAGAAAGGGCGGAAAGATGGCGACAGATGATTACACGTTCATCTTCGAGCTCTTCGAAGGTAATATTGACGCGCTCCCAGGAGGAAATTTGGCCATCCATCCGTGGCTAATGGAGACATGGAGTCTTCCTCGGACAACAGCCGTCAACCCCACAAATGCGTTCACTACAGTAGCGGCGGAAGCGGGTGCTACGCTGGTTCGAGCGCATCGGACCACACGCGTAAGGACGAATTGACGAGCGAACGAACGGGAGAATGAGCGGACGTATGATACAGACCAACAGTTGTTTGAATGTTTGTTGCACGACATCTGCGGAGGGCCTGCCATTTCCTCATAAAAAAATGAATAAATTCAATTTACATACATGCGCAAAATAATCATCTCCAGGAGAATGCAGACATTTGCGGGCATTGGAAGGGGAGAGACAGAGGTGCGTTTAAAAAGAGGTGAGAAACAGAAGTCTAGTGTGCATTAGTGCGTATTGGAAAGAGAGCGAAGTTGGCACCATAGGGAGTAAAGGCCTGACTCCTCTGTCAAAAACTCAGCTCAAAATTAAGAAACTAACCTCGTCAGTTATGACAGTCAGAACTTAAGTTGATTTCCATAGTATATTCAGGCCTGTTGAAAGGTCATCTTTTCTGGGAATGAGTCAAAGGGGCTGCTACCAGGGCGAATGCGACCTGACGATCTGCAGAGAAACTGACCATATTTCAATACAGACGCAAATAAACGCAATATTTGGCATTTTTGGCTGTTTTTGAGACATGCTAATTTGTAAGGAACTAAATGACGTTAATTTGCTTTAGTAAGGCATCTATCTTGAATGGGTCCAGATCTACATTGGTAGCTTTCCTTTGTAATAGTTTCTAAGGCATTATATTGTAGCAAAACAATCTTCTCTGCTAGTGCGAACATTAATGTTTAGTTTCTGGGATGAATATAACCTTTCAACTGAATATTTCATTTTCCAAAAGGGTTGAGGGATCTGCCGAGAGTATTAAACAAACTTAAGGTAATTTTAAGGACGATGACATGTATAGCTTACATCCCAACGGAAATGAAGGAATTGCGCAGACTAAAGTTACGAGGAAATTTAGATCAAAAGTTTGTTTGAATGGACCTGTTTATTTGACAAAAAATTATTAGGCTTGTGGCAAATTTATTGATCAAATGCATGGCATCGTATGATTTAACATAAATTACTTCTACTCATGGTTTATCAGTAAAATGGTGGACTTTAATCTGCAAACAATCGAAGGAGCGAGTAAATTTTGAATTCAAAACTTACACAACCAGCCGCATGCTTCGATCGATTAGGCATCTGGCGAGTGGGGTTAGGCATCATCTTGCCTCGAGTCGAATTTCTCGTTGTTTTAACAGGCTTTGTCAACGCGTAAACCAAATCTCATCGGTTCTTGCCACTCAGTCACTAAAAGCAGATTGTTTCAGCTCACGGATTTCTGTTTCGCCTCAGCACAATTTTAGAGAATTCAGAAGATCTGTGAGCACCGGCTTTCAAAGTGGGAATAACTCTGCCAACGAACGCGGTGGAAGTGGTGGATCACCCTCTGCAAGGACGCGGAGAGCCAGGTGTAGAACCCAAGTCCTTCATTCATCCTCATCCCACCTAATGACACGTCAAGTGGTTACCGTACTCAGACAGGTCGGACTGAGACCCCGCGTGGTAGCCGAGGGTCTACTGACGGTAACCTGGCCTACAGAGACGAATCTGGACCGCTTGGAGAGGCAGGAGCCACTTTCAATGGAAATGCATATTTACAGGGATCAAGGAATGAAGTTTCGACGACTCTCTGGACCAGAGAGTCTTTTTCGATGGAAACTGCAAAAAGTTCTTTCCCTTGTCTACGCCCAGTGTGGGTGGTGACGAGATATTCCCCCTGTTTTACTGTTTGAGTCTAAAATTGATTCTTGCACCTTATCTTCCACGGAACGAACATCTCGCCTTAAGTAGCATGAGAACCGGTGAATAAAAAAGATAAATATCTAAAACTAAAGCTGATTTCCGTGGGACTATGTAAGATCCTTTTCGTGTTAAAGCAAAAAGCTTAAGAATCCATCAAACCAAAGGATAAATAATTCAATTTTTCTATAACAGCTGCTAAAGTCTATTTTGCTACTTTAATGACTAGAACTTTTCTAGCCACCAATACAAATGCAAAATAGGCTCAAAGGTCGGTTGTTTTACGACTTTTCACTTAGCAGAGGCTCTAACCTTTTAGAGCTGATACATTATAGAATGGAATGCAGTGAATAATTATTTCAAATTGGAAACAATGAGACGGGGACCTCCGTCACCAGATCAACAGTAATTTTGGGCCGCCAGCGACTACTAGAACCCACAAACGTTCTGGTCTAGGCACATTTATCCTACAGGTAACACACTAAACGATAAAACCCCACAATGACCCATCGGGGTTTTTTGATTTGATTCTGGAGGGAAACACCAAAACCGACGATTCGAGAACGCCTTCGCGTAGTCCGCAAGACATCAGGTAACAGACCACTAAGATGCAAAAGACGCATCATCCGGGAGACGCACACGCCGGAGATCGAGAAGCCCAACTTGTACAAAAACCCTTGATTCTTCTGCTGATTTAAAGTAACAGCTTTGCAAATAATGTCAAATATATTATAAAAACCATACAATAGGCCTTTCTGTACATCGATACAAGCTGGGAGAACAGAGAGAACACTAAGTAGCAGAACGGGAGCGCTGTGAACCTGATCGGGCATTTTGATGACGTCGGTACCGATCATCAGCGTACATCGCCGGGGGAGACATACGACAATTACTGCGATCCTCGTATTCACCGTTAGACCTCATCCGTCCTGCAGACGAACCGTTACGCGGAGAACTTGACCTCGAACGCGAACGCCTGTCATGATCCCAACGGTCGCGATCACTAGCCTTAGAGTAACTCCGAGAACGACGAGAATACTGACGGGAGGCAGATCTAAAATAAGGGATATTGAACAAAAGAGTAAACACAAGTAGCTTGGGTAATTAAAAGTTGCTCATTTAGGCAATTTTGGTGTGAGCCCGGCAGATTACACAAGCTTTAACACCGAACCTAACGAGAAAAGATACTAACAACAAGGTAGTGACGTACAGATACCTAAAGCAACCCACCTGGAACGTCGACGACCGAAGCGATTAGCACGATCCCTCATTTCAGCAGGAGCTAAATCACTCGTCAGACAGAGGAACTTTGCTTACTCTTACGATAACCCCGAGTAAATTCCACCTCTATGCGCCGCCCCATGAACCGAGTTTGATCCATGCTGCGCTGAGCGTACTCGGCATCTCTAGAATCCTCAAACGTGAATATCCCAAGACACGGATCGAGTGAAGGAACAATGCCCAAAGTTACACTATGTATCTCTACAACGTTACCTCCGGAGACCGCCAATACTCAATGACGGTATTTCAAAGGACTGAGGTCGACAGGACTGAGACAATACTAAAAATAGAGGCAGACAAAGCACTCCACTCCCAATTTTATACCGGTGGATTTTACGAAAAACTAGTGTCACTAACAGGCACTTCTTGCGATAAGGGGCTTGGGCAAGGAACTCAATGACAGCTAATGCAACATTCCAGCAGCTTATTTGGATTCAAATGACAGACTTCATAAAGAGAACTAGTCATCTCCTAAGCAGTTTTAAAAGGATATTCAACAAAAGCAAAGCCCTTCATACGGCCAGAATAATAATCAGTGGGTATGGTCACATCTATAATGGGACCATACCGCCCAAAAGTTCTGCGAAGATCCTCATGCCTATTAAAGCATTGAGTAAACCGGTAACTAGTACCTGCAAGAATCAGGTAAGTTGTTAACATAGATCGAACAACGCCGAGACATACGCAAGAAATGCCTATCGCCCGCTAAATGTGTAAGCAATGGAAAGTAAAACAAGTGGCTTATAAAAAGAACATGTATTTAGAGTACTTTAACTTGTAAAAATAGTTTTAAACACCAGCTTTAAAATACTAGGGTTTTAATCAATGTGAGGAAGGAAAAGGCATAAAATTAAATTGCAAGCGACTGAAGAAAATCAGCGACTTTTCGGCTATGGTCGCGTATTTAACATACTAAAATCTGAGTGTTTGGATAAAAGCACAGTACATTGATTTAATCCAGTTTATTGGTCTACTATGCATAACGGTTTTGTCTGGAGCAGTGGTTCCAGTTCCTCAAACACTAAGCCAAACCCTGAGTTTTACTTTAAACATCGTAATGCTCCTGTGATTTGTTTAACTATGCAGTTGATTGCACGGGAGCTTGGGTCTTCCCAGATTGTACTTTTGCTGGGCCATGCCAGTAGCCACAACTCTTCTGCACGTCAAGAGTATTTTCTCCCACACTATTGTTACGCCTCAAGTCTTCTTTGAAGATGAAAGAATATGTAATACTCGAACAGAATATGTGTATTCGACCCATAGAAGGCCTTGGTCAACTGATGGCGGGGCACCTAAGTGGCTCCTTTACCAAAACCGAGAGTTAAACAAACAGCTACTGTATTCCACAACCGTGGTCGCTTCTAACTTCGTGGGAGACTTGGAGTACTACAAAACAGTTATTTGTTTATCATTATTGATATGCATCGGTCTCTAAGTTATTTGCAAAACCTTATCTGATTAACAAAGATAGGTTGCATTCAACAATCCATAGACTAAGCTTCGGTGCACTTGACCGCCCTATTATCAGACGTTAATCAACCATTTTCTCTAGGAGGGCATCTTTCTCGTTCTATGCATTTAAAGCTATTTCATTTATGACACTAATGTGCCGGCTTTGACATTTCTTCCTCCATCCTCGGAGCGAAAAAATGTGTAGAGAAGGTCCTTTGTTTACTCGGCTTTTTATTGGAATTTTAAAGATCACCGAAATTAACAAAGATTTAGAGCCCGCTTCCGCTATGGCGATCGGTGATGTCCACTTTGTCCAGAAGATGGTGCCAACCAACCGCTTTTTACTTAAATGTCATTTCCCAACACTCATGCATTGCAATCGTATGCACAGATTTAAGCACTCAGCTCGCAATGCTTTTATTATGCCTGATTTTGCTAGATGTAGGATTTACGATATTTCGGCAAAAAATTTCTTCTCTTATACAAATGAAACTTGAATGTGTTACTTAGCGGTTGATGCATAAATTGAAAGAGCTTGTGGTGCATGTTTGGTCTGTCAGACCCCTGTGGAGTAAGAACCACTTCTGTCTACGAATTTCGTAGCTCTGTCAGCGTTGCTTTGACAATGGGGACAACTATTGTTGTCCCATAAGACTTCCCCATCCTCACACAAACCCCAATTTTAAAAGTACTTTGCATCTTCTAAAAGCCTGCTTTATTTACCAGTGGTCAATGAGAGAGGCAACGGGAGACCTAAAAGGGTGATAACTGATAGGGACTTTGCCAAATGACTTGAACGCCCCCAAGTCGACCTCTACTTTCAGCAGATCTCGCGTACACCCTCCCGAAACTTAATCTTGGCAACGCCAAAAGCAAACATGACCTGGGGAATCAAATTCGAAGAATTTTGTACGTAACTCGCCCGGGCCGTCAGAGAAAGTGGACCATCAGCCAGAGGTTTCATGCATCATGGTCAAATTGTACCTCAATACGGTAAAAAGCCAATGGACCGGTCGCCACTTGTCGTATTTACTGGCAACAGATCCATGCTATCAAAGTGAAGCTGTGATTAATAAAGGTTGACTCCACACGCCCACTGTTAGCGCGTGTGATCGGCCAGCCGAATGATCTGTGACACATCAAGTGTTCACGTTAGAGAGCCAGGCTCTCGCAGATAGTGCACCAGATCACTGAAGCAAATAGGAAATAACCAATTCCCACCATTTGTATGGCGTTAACACAAATGGTCACGATCAACAAATAAAACTCTAATTGGTAATAAAAACTTACTTAAAGCACTAATATACAGCTTCTTGAATATTTCTATCGGTAAGATCTTAGTGGAAAGTCATCCGATTGAAAGCCCCCCACCCACTGATTTTGGTATTTTATCCACAAATGCTCAGAATGTTGCAATGAGGGAGTAAAGTGAATAATATGAAAGAATTGATTGCGTTAAAATATAAAAATCAAGAATAAATACAAAACACTAGTAACCAATGTCCGCCGATGAGCGATGTGATGAGCAAATCAGAGTTGAGAAGGGACCTGATATTTTGGATGGCAACTAACCAGTTGAACGGTGTCCATGACTGATTCGAAACGTTGACTCAAAGCGTTAACTTGGATGCTTGTTCTAAAAGGAAAAAGGAAATGCAGACATGCCATGCTGTCAAGCTTGTAAGTTTAAAATGTTACTTACACAAAGCTAATGTAAATTTGGTTGTATTCGGTATTGTTACTGAGGCAAAGCTTCGGGAGACTGTGAAAACAAGAACTAGGGGATTATCATCACAATGATATCAGATGAATCAATTAACCAAACATTTATACTTTACCATAATCAGGTTTTGACTACCGAATCCAACCTATTTACTTTTAATGCACTTAACTGCCAAAATTAGGAAGAAGTTTTCATGGGCAACTATGGCGTACTGGTTATCAACGTCAGTAACCCATGTACTCTTGGTCGCCGCTAACATACATGCATCAACAACTTTTTTTTGCTAATTTTCACGAAATCAATGAGCTAGATTCACCCGAACATTCTTTGAAAACCAAACGCCTTGATTAATCAAAAATAGGTATAGCACATAAGGAACTCCAACTAAAATGTACAAAGAAGTCTAACAAGAGCGAGTTCCAATAACGGGAGAACGGTTCTAATAAGTCAGTCGGGTTGGCTCCTAATTGAGCGCCCAGACAGAAGCAAAAAAAAACGCACTACATGGAGAAGACAGGTTCGTCGAATTCAAGGATTTGGTAGACATGTAGCTCCCTGGTCGTACGGGCGGGTACCCACTCGTTCAGCCTGGCATTACCTACGTTCAAAACTGTGGAATGGTAGAGCGAAAGCAAATTCACAGTCTCTACATATAGGGGCACGTAGTTCCAATTCGTCACATTGAAGGGATACTATAAAAAGAAGAGAGAAGGTTAGGATATCTGCTGATGCTCGTGCTGAACAAAATATTCACATTGTAGCAACCTTCCAATTGTCAGGAAGAACATATTTTTGAAAATTCTTTAAAGGAACTTCACAAAGGTCGGCAACCCGTTAGCACATACAAGTTTGTAGTGAGAGTATTTCGTCGATCGATAATAAACACAAGAAAACTTAGATACTAAATTATAAATTTTACTTAAGATTTCCTCATTCACTGCATATGGGAACCGCAATAACTGATTTCGGTCGAAGCAAAAGCCATAAACTCTTCATGAAAGCCAAAACATTTCTATTCTGCTTACACCATTTTTGTGGAAATAAAGTTAGTCTATTCAAACCAATATGAAGGTGAGCACAGAGAAAATCAGTTGAATGATTGCTCATTTAAGACATTATGAGAATTATGCAAACTAAAATTACCAGCCACCACGTTCACGATTGCGCTGACGAACGCGAGGATGGAGTGAGTGGATGGCGAAAGGGAGGAAGAGAAAAAGCAGCTTACAGAGAAGTTTAAGGAGACAACATCGTCCTTGATTTGCACATCGCTGGGCAGGAGTACGGAGGCAGAGGACTGGAGTCTGATAGAACGGGGCAGGAGGAAAAAGACTAGGAGACCAGAGAGGGCCAGGCAGAGAATGACAGTGATGAAAATCTTCACTGTGATTCGCTGCGGTCGCAGGCGCTTGTCAGTGAGTGGGATCAAAGCGATGTATTCACCACCGCCGCCAGAAGAGTCGACATCTAACAAGAAAGTGATTACAACCTCAACTGAAACCTAAGCACAAAACTGAGTGTAAGACGGATCGACAGGGGTCCATGGCTTTACACTGTTGCAGAACCTCAGAATGTCAAAACTAAGGTTAAGTAAGTCCTGATTTCAAAGCTACCCTGCCTGATTTACATGAAGCAATACAAAAGATGAAGGCTCGTGTCCGAAGAACGCGTGTCTGATTATCAAACTTGCTGCACATGACTGGACCGTGCACCCATAACTAAAAATGAATCCGAGTCGTGTAATCGATAAAACTAAGAGGAAAATGTAAAAAAAGAACGTGAGGTTCCAGGTCACATTGGGAATTGCGCCAAGAAAGGAAATCAATGTGGATTAAAGTAATGAAAGTCGAGTCCAGAAATGGGGAAAGCTACAGTCATGTCAACCAATTAGGTAGAGTTCAATCGAAGCCAGAATCCAGATTGTAATGAAGGCGTATGTTATTGGCTACTGTAAATACATTCGTTCATGTTGTCGTTAGTAGTCTCCCATATTCTGCTATGTGTATAATAGCAAATGAGGCAAAATAAGGTGCACAGACTAACATTACTGGGGATATACGAAGCAAAGCTTACATTTAAGATTCACAGACCACCTAAATGTGTGTACTAAAAGGGCGTAAGGGAAGTTGGATTTTTGAGAATATTAAGTTGATAAGTCTGGCTACCTTCTACAATGCCAGTGCCCCTACATGTGGGACATTGCCTTGAAGTTCCAATGCATCCATATGTCGGAATGCTGCATTGATTAGGTGTTCCCATGACTACGTTACCCATGCCAATCTATCGGAAACCAAAAAATCAGATGTAAAACCACAGCATTATAAAGCTTAGTCAAATACCTATTTATGTTGACATATCAGGTCTAGACATGGCACAAGAGTACACGAATCTAGCTTTCTGCAAATGTAGCAAGTTGTACTGTACCGATCAAATAAATTCGACGAACTAAGCATCCGTATATAGTGTCCCAGAACAAGTATGTATATGCATCGATAATAGTTCGCATGACCATCCCTTTCGCAAATCGGAAAATTGTCTCTCAAACTGACTTAAGTACAACGACTGAAGAGCAGCATGAGGATCCAAAACCTGAGAGATGAAAGGAACTACTGCGACTATAAGGCTCAAGGGCTGGTAATGTTACGCGCCCAAAAAAGATAGTCCAAAATAAAAATGTTTTAAGCAACCTTACCTTTAAGAGAGAGCCTAACGACCTCAAATACGTCTAACCCCTTGCCTGCAAGCTATGCGCCCACAACCAGGTTCATATAAACACGGCGGCTTTCGTCTAAAGCATTATCATTTTTGAATTGTGGTTTCTTAATTTTGTATTTTGCAATTTGCTAACAAAGCAAAAAACCATTAAAATATATGACTTTGCCGGTTATTTGCCTCGTTGAGTGTTTTGACGAATCAGAGTTCAGTGTTTTAAGTATGCAAGCGCATTATGGGTGACTCCGTAAACAAAGCGTATTTGCTACATGTATATGCACCCAGTTATCACATAGAGACAGGATTCATCCCACCACTTTTTACACTATTTCTTTGACGGCCCGTTTTTTTAATTATTCAGAGTTATATTGGTAATTTGCTTCATCTCAGTCCTATTGAGGGAATGTATTCGTGGAATCAGTCTTATTTTCTATCTTTGCAATCGTGCTCTACTCCAGCCTGCAAAATGTATAGCTTTAAATAATTGGTCATTGCTTCGCCATTGAAAGTCGCACTCATAGGTCCCATAAGTCATGTCATATCTAAGGACTATATTGCTTGTACATATTTTTGAGTCAATTTTCACTAATCGAGTGGCTGAAGCTTTGAATTACTCCCTATTAAATTTGCCTTCGCGTCCTTAAGGTACTAGGATTTTAACGGCTAGCATCCTCATTAACAGTCTTGCCATTAATGTGTAGTGTACTACAGCACTTAACTTCGCAAGCAAACCATATTTAACAGACATTAATTTGATCATAGCATATCGAGGTCTGCGATTACTCCATGGACGCATTTAATAGGAAATGCTTTAAATTTAGGTCAGAAATGCATCGATTTACGTTCTTTTCAAAACTCTTGCGTCAAGGCACGACTATTGTATCTGAAAAGGAAGAAGGCCTAGCATCACATAAAGTGAGTTCTAATATTATCTAATTTGTCCAAAGCTTCTCCTTCAGAGTGGAATTTTGTCCGTCAGCTCTCCAGGCACATTCGTTTTGTCTCCGATCGCTTTGCGCGTTGTCGACAAACTCATTGCCTTTATTGATTACAAAATGTCCGAGGTTGGTGGACAAAAGTGTCTCTTTCCGACGCTTGGTAGATCACAACTCTGGGTCCGATCAGGGAGATGGGAGAAGTTTGGTGGCGAAATGTTTCGGCTCAAAGATCGAGTTGGTCGGTCTCTTTGCCTGCAACCAGTGAGTATGCGCTTTTTAGATTAGCTCTCTGAACCCTTAGACACATGAAGAGGAGGCGTGTGAATTTGTCAGCAGCCTTGATATAGGAAATAGCGTTCTGCCCTTACGCATATACCAGATCTCCTCAAAATTTCGCGACGAAATTAAACCCAGACTGGGTCTTCTTCGATGTCGTGAGTTTTTGATGAAAGGTGGGAGCGTTTGTCATGTGTCAAATTTGTACTTTTTAGACATGTATTCTTTTGATTTGGATGTTAGAGCTGCTGAGAAAACTTATGATGCTTTGTCGAATGTCTATTCGGACATTTTTCGTACACTTCGTCTACCTGTGTTAAGGGGTGCGTTTCTTATTATAGTGGTTTAGTACTTACTTCTTGTTCCAACATAGCTTGCTTCCGATTCTCATTTTCCATGTTCTGTTTTTAAATCAGAGCCCCAGCGATTAAATTAAAAGAACTGTTTTGCTTGATTAATTTCAGTTGCGGCCGAGGGAGGACTCATGGGTGATTGTCACTCTCATGAGTTTCACTGTCCTCTGGCAGTTGGAGAGGACACTCTCTCGGTTTGTCCAAGGTATGCTTCGCAACAGCACGCTTTGAGTCTTGGCATTTCAAAGTCCTTTTATATCACGTCTTTATCTTATGATATAAACTTCAAAAAATCCGGATTACCGATTCCAACGCCAGCACACCCTAAAGTGATAAAGTACACATACCAGAAGGGGATCGTTATCCTTACAAAAACCACGCCAATGATGTAACCGTAAATCTTTTCATGTACCACTTTTGTAGCTGCAATGAAGCCGTCTTGGCTGCAAACGCGGGTACCGTAGTTTTGGATACTCAATAATTCTTTCTAGATTCTCGAATGTGCCCTGACTGTGGCTTGGATCGACAGACCTTTAAATCGGTCGAGGTAAATCGCCCTTTTCCTAAAAATCACCCACTCTGCCTTGGGCTGGTAGCGCCCGCTAGTAACCTTCACATTTGTCTCACCATTACATTTTATTCATGTACCATAATAATTGAAGGATTCACTACCAAAGTTACCACTTTTATAGAAAAATGATTCCATCTTCCTTCAGCTAGCACACTGTTTCCTACTTGGAGATAAGTACACTTCCAACTTCAATGTCAAGACAACTACACAGAACGGAAGGAAGTACGTTGCCCTCTGTTACTTTTGCATTAGATCAGGATTCTACAAATGGGCTGCTACGGCATTGGCGTAACACGTCTTTTGGCTGCGGCACTTGAACACTTTACTGCCTCCTTGGTGAAAGAAAACCCACCCAAAGAACTCCGCTGGCCTTCGGGCTTCGCGCCGTACAGCGGAGCTATCGCCCTCCAGAAAGTGCGCATTTGACGAGACCATGCTACTTATCCCCGACTAGTAGTAACGGCCTTTTCCGGTTATTGAAGGATAACGCCAGGGATGCGCTGTCGACAGACGAGTTGAATGGAGTCCTTGCTCACTTTATGGAACTTCCTTCAACATCCAACAGCCCCACATCAGGTTCGACATTCTTCGCGGGTCTTCTTCCGCGTGGTGATATTCTCGTGGATGACCGATCTCGTTTGAGCCTTGGGCGAAAGCTACTTGATCTTCGTCGACTCGGCGTACCCTGGATTCTCATCGCCAAGGTGATTTGTTGTATAATTAGGTCTGCACATTTCATAAACTTGTTTCTATGCCTTACCCTCCACTCAGAGTCGCAAAGGCAGTGTAAACTCAGAGTATGAACTCGTGGATGTCAATCGAGGAGGAATTTCCTTCACTGCCAGTCTTAACGATGTCGTGGCTGCTTTCACTCGCTACGATTTCCAAATTCCACTTCCGGACATCTGTGATCATCAGTACAGCAGGCTCTGGCACGAGAATGACACATCCAGATAGTCCTCACGCATGTATGCATGCAAATACACACACGCATAAATATACCGAATACATCTTTCCACTGCATCTGGTATTGTTCCTTAGATCAGGGAAAAGAGCCGAAAGAAGACGACGCATAAGGATCAATAATAACGCAACTACAACCACGCGGAATCCTAGTCATCGACAACGCAAACGCACGCAGATGGGCCTACAGACACACACGCCACATGAAAATGAAAAGGAGTCTCATAAGAGTGCAATATGGCGAGCGAGGGCGCAGCAAGACGGCATGACGATTTTCTCTAAATGCACACTCTTAAACGATTGGCGTGTGGGAAGGGGAAGTTAGAAGCGGAGAGGGTGGAATATATCATCCCTTCAGGGGCAGGCTGCATCCACCTCCCATTCCGGGCTTGATGTGCTGCTCCACCAACTGTCGCAGGCCCTTCACCTCACCCTGCGTCTGCTCCAGCTCCCGTTCCAGCTGTCTGTTAGTCTCGGAGAGCTGTGACACCTTCTTCTCCAGTGTTTTAATCAGGTGAATCTTCCGCTCCCGACACCGACGAGCAGCGTCGCGGTTCCTCGCCCGTTTCTGCTCTAGTCGGTTGAGCTGTGTGGTCAGCGACTCCCCTACAGTCACGGGACGAGAAAAAAGGCCCGAGCAGCGCCTTCGGCCCATTGGCTGCGTTCCACCGAACAGAGACGAGTCCGAAGAAGAAGGCCGGGTGGGACGATTGGTGTCGCTGTCAAGGAGTGATGAGGATTCTTGCACACCGCTGGTAGAAGATGAAACAGCGTCTTGGTGGTGGTGATGCTGCTGCTGTTGCTGCTCAGCGACGTCTTTCACCTCCCCTCCTGCGGTTACATTTGTCTTCGTCGTGACAGTGTCATTGAGAAGGAGAAGGTTGCGGGAGGCGGCGGCAGCAGCGGCCGCAGCCGTGGTGTTCGGAAGGACCACTGCAGTAGTGGGTGAACTAACCAGCGGTGCAGCGATAGAAGAGGACACAGCGGCTGCAGCCGTACCTATCGGTGAGATGAGGATGTAGTTCTGGTTGTTAGAGCTATCTGCAGGACCACTGGAAATGATGAAGCTGTTCTGAGGAATCACGCTGGACTGCACTGCGGTGCTCGACCCCGATGTCGTTGTGATCTCGGAGGATCCAGCTGTTGCCTCCGCGAAAGATTTCGTCAATTGCGGGATGAAACCACTAAAAATAAAGCAGTTTGATTGAGACATAATCGCTTACAAACACCACGTGGCAGGCGATAGACCACAATCTAATGGTCATGTATTGCAACAAGTCTCCTGAATTCACAAGCACGTAGATTGTAAGGCTTGAGTGATAATTCGGGTCCATTGTTTTCGATCCTTCAATGCAACAGACAATTCGTTAAAATAAGGAAGCTGTATAGTAATATTTGATATCCTAATTAAAGTATATGATTCGAAACTACTGTTACTTGGGTAAGTGTGAGCCATCAGAGTCCGGCACCTTGGCAGCGCAAAATCACGTCAGTGGAGAGGGGAGAAGGAAGAGGGGGAGGCCAAATCGTATTTGAAGGTGAGAGCGCAGCTCATAGAAGAGAAGACTCCGCCTCAAAGAATGACTCATTCGATAATGGCATCATCAAACTGTCGGGTGCATGTGCACACGCGCACACACAGTTGCGCGCGCCGATGAGTCATCTGGGATGACGAGGAAGACCTGAATCACACGCGCGTCGGACGTCCTCAAACACGGTGGGCAAGACAAAGCGATAGCCAAAGCAAAAAGTCTTGAGGTTCCTTCTACCGGTTAATTACTTTCTTCGTTGGTGGAGGATTCTAACATGATATTTCACCCCTGGCAGTAACAACGATGTTGTTAAGGAAATGGAGGGATTCCGTATACCTCAGACCTTCGTTACTTGACCTAGTACGTGGTTGGACGATAATACTCGAAACAAAGCAGTGAAGAACGCAAACTGTTCAATTAATGGTTTTAAGGTTACGTCAAATACCTACCAACTAAAATTACGTAACCAATAAATAGGAAAACAACTTGGGTGAAGAATGAAGCCAACCAGGTAGTTGGAGTTTCGGTGCTGCACAGCGATTTGACAAATTGTTTACATAACTTGTTGACTATAAGGACACAGAGACCTTCCGATAGCGGTACGGTTACTAAGACATACTGTCTGAGCATGAAAAACATGTGCTGTGACTAACTTCACGCGATTTCGGATGCTAACACAAAGCAGTAGTCAAAAGGAGCAGTCAGCTTTGGGCCTATTCCGATTTAAACAAATTTACTTGGAAACAGTATTGAAATCGGGGTTCAAGCACATTTAACGTCAGCTTTCCATCCCATTTGATCGACTCATTATGGATACACACTCAAGGTGGAGCTACGAATAAATATCTGCAAACACTTGAGATTGAAGACTGCGCTGATGAAGGGATTAGCAGACCACCAGAGACCTCGAAAGGTGCAACGGGTGGAGGGGTGTAATGGTGAGCCAGTTGGAATGCTCCTAATTTCTTAGAAAGGGAGACCAAGCGAGTTTAGCACCGGACTCTAAGCACGCAGCAACATCTGTATCGGTAGGCTCGCATCGTGACAAATTTGGTGGCTTAGGCAGCAGACAATATCGCGTGAGAGATGAGCACGTGGATGTAATTCATAGTAGGTCACTCGGATAGATCCCATTCCTTCTGCTTTGTAGACGTTAATAACCATTTTACCACTTATTTCATTTGGCAAAATGGGGCGTCATAAGAAAATAATGAAAACTAGTACACCTTCCAGCAGGACTGGCGTGTTTACATCCGCCCAAAAGATGCCACTCTGTACAGGAATATTTTAATCTGAAAATAGGGAGCCTCCATCGTCAAGAGAGCTCGGTGAAGCGAAGGATACCTCAGGACTAAGTGACGAACTAAAATAAAATGCATCAACGGAAAGGCCTTGCATGCGTATTTGCACTTAAAAGTAGTTGGAGAGGATAGGTAACCCCTTTTGATTTCAAAGGCAACGTTCAACCAACCCGAGACAAAGTATCCGGCAGAGATTCTCCGTTAGGCAAGATTCAATTATTAATATCTAAAATTTTTCAAATGTTCTGGGAAAAACACTTCACACATGTAAGGGATACGCATTTGATGGATAGTCATGGTATGAGACCTGGAAATTATGCAGTACTTCAGAACTACTGGGGTAGGAAGATGGAATGAAAGGAAGGTGACCAATGAATTCGAATCATCATCCGCTTGGTACAGTCGTAATGATTCCCGCGAGTTCTTTTGGGAGGGGCTGCACGTTCTCCACAAACCGGGCCACAGAAGTACACACTTTGTAATCACACTTTCCATAAATAGACTAAAGCTTCTTTAATTTTACAGGAATCCGATTGTGCATACTAAAGAGCTGGAAGATTAAGTACTAGGGCGCACGCAAATTCGAACACATGGTAGCAGTAATTGCATCCGGCGGATGCAGAGCTTATCAAAGGAGAGCGAGTTAGATTAATTTTCATCAATTCATCAGATGGACTTAGAAGCAAAACAGACAAAAGTCGGTTTGACCCCTACACATTGCAGTGACTCATGACACTCCTAACCATGCCGAAATGAGTCACGGAGAGGGGATTTGGAATTGGACGGCGTGAGTGGGTGGGTGGCCGTGTGTGTGTGTTGCCGAGGTGAGATGAAGTGCGGTGTCGTGAGTAAGCAAACACACCAGAGGCAGCGTCTGCTGCACAAAGCACAGACAACTCCGAAGAAGCATCAAGCCCGTGTCTCAATGAAGGTACACAATTTTGGTAAATCCTGAAGCAATCCACTGCCCTTTGCTTGAATCGGTCTTACACCTCAGACAAAGTGAAGAGCTTTCTTAACAGACCAAAGTGAACACATTGTTGATCGGCCGTCCGTATGATAAAACCCGTCTGGGGCACGAGGACGCCTTTTTCCGTTTTCAAAGCCCCCCATCTTGCGGGAGAAAGGTCTGTCCAGCAAATTAATCATGTTACGTGAAGGGAACGGCAACTTATGGATCCTAGCAGAAAGCACTACGAAATTGGAGTCTAGGCGGCATACGAAAATAGTAAATCGCTTTATCAATTATCTACAAACACCAACAACAAAGAAACGGGATTAAACACATACTTCAATTCCATCTAACGTATTTGGAAAGGCTCAGAACAAGTAATAATCAAAATCCCTCTTGAAAAGGGGGCATCAAGTCGAGTTTGCAAAGGTGACAATGATGAAAAGCGATATTTGAGGTAGTTAATGGGCTACTTAACCAGCAGTTGTTACAAGTAGGAGATTAAACGCATAGTGGGCAGAAAAAGTGCTAAGAACTAAGATCTGAGTAACCTAGACCAAGGTTCTGCTACTTGAAAGCCATTCTGCTACATCTACTATAATAACTCACAAGCCTGCGGCGCGTCTAAGCTGAAGATGATGCAATTAGTTATGAGTTAGAGAAAAAGTTTAATGGCAAAAGCCGAGTAAATCGCCTCTGAGTTTTGCAAATGAGTGATAATTGGTTTGAGAATGTAGAAATGCCACCACCAATAGGCACTCAAAATTACTTAAGTCTAGTAATTGTAGTGAAAAAGAAATGTTTATCAACGTGGAGTTTTGAGCTGGAAATTATTCAGAAATTGATGCAAAATACTAATATTTGATGGCACATCAGTAAAACTAGGTAGCAGAAAAAAACAAAATCAATGAGATATTTTCATTTGGACTGTACGTGAGTGGAACAAGTACGACTCTGTCCTAACCACAAAATTCCGCGTAAATGAAGGCAGCGGGAATAAATTTATACCAAGTAAGTGATGGAGCAAGCCAACAGGCATGAAAGTAGTTTCTCAGCGGTAGAGGAAGGGCACACTTGCTTCAAGCGTACTGACAAGACAGCGGGCGTTATTTTGTGCCGAATGCCAAAAAAAGCGCAATGAACAGGCAAAAAGTGCACACCTGAGTGGGCAAAGACGCGCAATGGCAGGTGGTGGCGGCGGCGAGGAGGGAGGAATGGTAACCCAGGTATTTTATTAGTCAACGCGGAGGAAGGGGAGTGGTGATTTCAGCGCTCTGAAGTGATGACATTGAAAACACTACAGAGAAGTAGACATCGGCAGTGTAGCACTCACCACACAGTGAATCACCTCTGGTTGCTGCCGCTGCGACAGCTATTTCTGCCTCCCCGCCCAAGATCGCATACGCCCACGCGCGCACATGCATCTACGTCAATGGTAATGCATGCGCGGTGGGTATAAGTGAAAGGCAGAGAGAGATGAAGTAAACAGGTTGCGGTGATTTCAGTTTACGATGAAATCCAGTACTGCTGTAACCATCTAGAGTTAAAGAGGCGTTTGAACTCTGTGGAAAAAAGCACGTGTACCGCATCGTTCCTATCAAAACACAGTATTCATTTGTGCAATGCCCCATTAACAATAAAAGAAGAGCTTCTAGTACTTGTGAAATGAAATATGTACATCCTTCTTCATTCTCAGCTATAATTGCAACTGCAGACCGATTGCAAAACAGAAGAATATAAGGGACAGGAATGAAACGCTCACACGTTGGCAGTTTTTCATGCAACATCGTAGCGACGCTACCAATAACAGAGGCAATTATTGACAGGCAGTAGGTGTGATTGAAGGCGTGGTGGCAATTCATGAGTAAACGTCATTGAGCTAGCCAACGCAGCTCATCAACTAGTGGAAGTCAAGTTAGCAAAAAATTGCTTCGTAGCCTGGAAATCCCAGAAATCCCAGACTGCAAAGCGTCTGGTGAAACAAACGGCTCGTAAAAATTACGGAGTGGTGGGAGCGATATCACGAAGAATAACTTTAGTGAAATTTAAGCAACCATTTTGGACTAGATTGGTCTTACTCCTCCTAGGTTCGAAACTATGCAAATGATGCTCATGAATATTACAGACCGGCGCCATGAGGTCAAAATAAACGAAAAACATGTGGATATTAAGAAGAAAAGTGGAACACAGAATTGCACAGCTCTGAGGTAATGTCCTTAAGCTAACCTTGAGTGTCAGTGGTCTTAAAGGACATGCCAGGACACAGGTCCGTACGCAACAGTGATTCGTTCATAACGGGTCAGGATTTTAAAACGATTGATGAAAATGAGGAAACAGTACTGATTTAAGCAAATTACGGCGTTTCTAGAAGAAAATAAGACAAATTTATTACTACAGCTAGACAATGCGCACAGCCTATTAAGAGTTAGCAGATCCGCCAATGAGTCACTCTGATATACAAACCAAAGTGGCTAATGACAATTCAAGCTACCGAAATTATTTAATAGAAGGATTTTGGAAGTGTGGGTGAAAAAGTATTAGGGATAATAATAGCAACAACAGACACTTAAAATCAGCGGTCATTTCAGTTAAATGTAAATCTCTAGTCTCTTTGGCTAAATAACATGCGAGCCAAGTGGAGAAATTTTGTGACCACGAGCCGAAAAACACCCAAAGCAGCTTTTCCAGTTCGTGGGCATTTAAGCTGGCGAGCGCTCAGTGAGGATTATTGAACCAGAAGGTCAGCAGAACAGCTGAGTAAGGAGATAAGAAGAATTTTAAGGCAGATTTAATGGTGCGCCTCATCTCCTCTCAGTGACCATGGAACGTTGGAGGGTTGCAGACTCAGTTGGATAAATGACGCTGTGATGGAGGAAGAGAGACGGCACAAAGTAGCACTTAGCTAATGAATTCGCTACATCTTATCAACAAATTGCACCTCAGACATCAGACCCTTACAGAGCTGGATTTAGGTGCTACAGCGCTAGTTTAGATAGGCCTCATGAAATTCTTTCATGCACTTTCTGGTCCGAAATCTTGTTGCAAGGGCTGGATGGTGAGGAGATGTTGACATAAGACTCAGCGCACCGATCGATACTAGGACACCGTACCGGTCATCGATTATCCCCATCGAGGCAAGCCGAGCGGATGCAAAAGTTTGTGCCGTAGGAATCCAGTGGAGCAGAGTTAGTGAAGGCAGAATGAGCTGAGCGCTACCAGAACGGTGATTTCGGTGATTGCTCGTCGCTGTGTTGCTAGTGCGAAGGCGATACTCTCTATCCAGAGCGGATAGGTAGGTGGATGAAGCACTTAAAATGGAATATGCAATCAAGCACACAAATCGAGCATGATTATTTGAAACTATACAAGAGCCTAGCCACACTGGTGCCTGCTGCGTAGCGCGCATCAATGGGTTCAAATTCACAATACGCACTTGACTAACAATCCCAAGATCACAAAACTTTGGGATGGCACAAATCGGCTTCACAAAGAGAACGTCCATTAATAAAGAAACGGAACTGAAACGTAAACAGCATTTACTGTTAGATGCCAATTCCAATTCGAATGGGATTATTTTGGTTTTTGTTTGGCAAAAAGTTAAGAAGTGGTGCAGAAAAAGCCAAACTAAGGTAGAGCTAATTAGTCCGGAGATTGCATACTGGACAATAAGACACTGAGGCTGAAAAAATGGGCACGCCACCGAGCAGCAGGAGAAAGCATCGAAACCAAACTGAAACGATAATCTTTGAATGCATATGGATAATAAATATTAATGAAAAACCAAGTGAAGATGGAATAATGGGATCATAAAATCACAACAGAAAAGTTGGTAGCGCAGGAAGTCTCATGAACTCGCTTGAATGGTAATGGTAGCTTCAAATTACACACTACAACACTTGACTGCAAAACCAGCAAGTCAATGACAGGAGCACTATGACCTGCTCTGCAGTTCCGATTCAGACAAACCGACATTAGATGGCAGAAAATAAGTCAATAAATAGCACCTCAAAAATCTGCAAAGTTCCCATTTTAAAAGGCCTCTGATTATAAATACACAAAGGCAATTACTATTGGATTTTGAAGATGGATAATTAATGCTGAGCCATGTGAGACTAATGCAAAGATGGCAAAAGTAATCCGAACTGCAAGTATAACCGATATACACATCTGTGGATTATACAAAAATCTACTTACACGCACACAATTTCACCAATCGCACGTCACTCATTACCATAAGTTTAACTTAGGGTTGTGAACAAATGTGTCTGCTATGGGAGTAACACCGAATTAAACCTAGAAAACTTCTTAAACACACACACCACAAAAGGTAATGGGAACGAGATGGGTAATGTTAAAAGACATAAATTTCGGTCTTTCAAAATTCGTGATTCGATCAAAGACGGTCCCAAAACACTATAATTTACATTGGCGTGAATGGGCGTCGCCCGTTTGAGGGACTATTTGAGAAGAAATCGAGTAGAATATGATAAAGCTGCATTGGACAAAGAATTCTAACAAATATTGCCAAATATAAAGCTAAATTGATTCCGATCGACACCAATGGCGTACATAATACAACCGCTGTTATTCAAATAAGGAGCAGAAAGTAAACCCAAGATATTGAACATGTTGAGCAATTTCCTGCGCAAAGATGAGACTGAGTGAGTACATGAAAGAGATCCCAATTCAGCTCAGACAAATAATGGTCAATATGTACGGGTAATTAGCAAAACATATGAGATGACACCTTTCTAATTACGCAGGCACAAAAGCGGACAAATTTGAACGCAAACATAGCTGAGTCACCTAATGTGGCACCGAAATCAAATAATCATTATAAAAAGAAACCAAGAATACCTCTGCGGGATATAAAACCCGCCGAAAAATAAGCAAATAAAATGACTGGAAAACTTGAATTCAAGGTAATGCATCAGACAAGAATAGAGTTTTACTAAACTTGTCACACAATATGTAATGAGGTACAAAATAATGCTACGGAAAAAAAAATCACCATTTGGAGACAATGTAGCCACGATATATCAGTTTCGACAACCTGACACGGACCACGATACAAAGTGAAACAAGTGCAATGAAATTTAAAATTCCAACTAAAATGAAAAAACCTACTCGAGAACCTTCGCGTCAGGGGTAGAAGTTGTAGAGGCTGCGGCCGGTTGGCAGTTTTGCAAGAACTGAAGCAACTGGGGGGTTAGGAGGTCCATAGATATGGTAGTAGCACCAATATTTAATGTATCTGGTCTAACTACAGTCGTTTCTGTCGAGGTTGTTGCGGATGAGGGGGGTAGAGTTGTTCGCCACGAATTGTCCTCTGACATGGCGCCTGCTAAGAGAAGGAAGCAATGATAAATTTTTCAAAATTATGCTAAAAGCCTTGGACTGCATGATGCGAAGCATGGAAAATGTCGCCATATTAATGTCCAAGGAACTCACGAGGTAAAAACAAGGCACTACCTAGAGAAACTTTCCCTTACTGTATTAAAAAACGGATCAAAAATGTGCTAGTTACTAAGGCTTTTTCAACCCAACCGTGAAGACAAGCCTTTGATGTCTAAAAACAGACCTGCATTTAACAAATTCGGCGAGCCCATAGAAGTACCCCTCAAACCAAAGCTACAATCAAATTAAACTGATGACTGTTAAAAAAGTAAAGTAGATTAAGTAGATTACACATTTGTAAAACGACCTAATGCACTAATCAAATGGACTGAATTGGGACTGTTACGAAGAATGCGCATCAATACTCAGTTAGAAAATCCAAACAACTGTTAGATACATCTAAAAACTTGTAGAACATGGGTGAGAGCCTCGAAAACTGAAAGAGACGCCGCCCGAACCTACCGCTTACTGAGCACTGTCTGGTGCTTCGGTAATGCCTTCAATCGGTGCGGTAGTTATGAAAAGATTAAACAAAATTTGCTAGAATATTAAAAAAATTACCTCTTAATGCTTTGCCAAAAAAAATTATTTAATGTCCACTTAAGACAAATTCCCCTAGAAACAAGAGCTTGACGGGAATATGATTGCAGATGTCTACATAAGAATGTGCTTTTTCAAAGAATTTAAATATCGACATTTACTTTGCCGATATTTAACAAGCAAAATTAGCAATTAAAAATAATTTCAAAAGCGAATTTTATTGTGGTACGCCTTGAAAATAGGCTGCAAGCACTTTCAGTTTATTGTATATGTTATTTGATTTCAAATTGCAATATTTTGGAACATAACAAATGTGAATCTTCGGAAAAATTCTCAAAGGTTTTGTTGCATTCCTACCATATTTGTCAATCCTAAAATGTTTTGCATACCAACTCTTCTGTGGAGCGAGACTCCTCGGTCTCCGCTTCCCGATTCCTAGCGTTCCTAGACAAGCCCGGTTGGTTTACTTTGGACATCTTTATTAAAGACGACAAGATGTATAGGGAAAATACAATATTCAAGAAGGAGGGGAGCCGCAGTCGCTAGGTAAGGGAGAGGGCGATCCAGTTACCAGGTTCGAATTTTTTGCTTCCCTCCTCCCTGAAAGGCACATTAAAACAACATAAGTATTACACTTCTAATGCTTCTATCTTCAATATATGATACGCTAGTTTTTGAGCGGCACGCGCCTTACTCTAATGCCTCAGCCTGAATAACGCCAGTGTTTTTACCTATGGGTGGGCTTTCGGTCTGCCGGTCGGACATACGTAAAGTAGTTTACTTTTATATGACCTTGTGGTCAACACAGCTGGAATCTGAGGGTAACATAGCCTTCCGAGACTCCCTGAAGACGAAAGAAGACAAAATACTCGGGCAAAATATCTATTTAGCGCAGAGAAGGTGTCTGGGCTATTGGCATGCCACAAAAGGCCAGCCCACCCAGCGATGTACAAGGGAGCTAATTCAAAGCACAAAAGTGGCGACTCACCAATACTGAGGAATAAACCACTATCGTATTACAGTAAATTCGTCTTTGTAAATTCATGACATTTCCTAAGTTCGGATGTTTGGGACATAAAACGTGTCATGCCGTGGGGTTCATTGTTCTTCCAACGACTACTAGTAGCTGTTTTGAATGTCGTGCTTTGATTATCAGGTCCTACCTGTGTACATAGAAGTCGCTGGTCGTTATTCCTTCGCCTTTGTCTCCAAAAGTTAAAACTCTTCATTTGTATGGCGGTTGCAATACTTGCCTTTCGGAAATTTCAAGGCTGGAGTTCAGCCTGCTAACGCATCTACACCTTGAGGTATTGTCACTGTGGGAGTTGAAGGATGTAGGGCTTCTTTCCTTTTTTAAATATTATCTAACGTCGGAGTTTGCTTTCTGTCCCTCTGGGTGATATTGTCAACTGGAAAACTTGCCTTTAGTTTCGCGGTTCATGTAAGTGCAGTTTAGCCCTTTTATTTGACCTTGAGTCCTGTATGTTTTATTGGTCGACAGGCCCCAAAATTAAAGGCAATGTTATCTGCCTATTTTGACACCCATTTTTTCAAGGATTTGAGCAGTAAGCTTTGATCAGCGAATCAGAAGGAAGTGTCTAGTCTTATTCATTAGACTAGGAATGTTTCCAATGGAAAGCCTTGTTTTAAAGGTCACAAGGCAAATGTATGGTGCTGATCGACAATTTCAAAGGAATGGTTATGCCCATTGCCTAATTTTCTTATTTTAAAGCCGGGTTTCATAACGGAAATTAGTGGATTAAAATTACTTGTCCGAAGCTCGGTAATTGGGAATCGTATTTCTAAACCCCTAAGACCGATACTCCTTTGCTTTGACTACATTATTTCGATTCGGGTGGCACTGCTGCAGCGAGATTAGCGTAACCATTATTAATTAAGCATAGTTCCAATTTAATAATCTCATATGTTCTGGTATGCCCGTTTACGTTGAAGTAACCCAGTGGCGGAATGCTGTCTGTACGAGTGCGTGTAGACTTGCACCACTGTCGTTCAGTATTGTACCTGCGAAATATCATCCAAACATTTCGAGTTGATGTTACCGCTATATTTCATTCACATATATAACAGTCGCTCTTATGTTTTTCCCATCCATCTCAAGTGTGCAGGTTTAAACCTGCTGTTTGGATAATAAACAGTCAGGCTCGGTAGGAGCGGATAAAACGAGTCGGTCAAGTCAATTGCTGGCTTGGTGGGACGCGCAGTGCACAACTACATCGAGGTTTGCAGGCTCTTTGGTACTGTACTGAGCAACTGAAACATTGACCAGTCGTTGCGATTGATAATTACTCAACAAAAAGTTATATTTGCTTGGATTTAAGACCAAGTTTACACTATACGGCGATGTAATGCTTAAAATAAGGTCGTCTTCTAGCCAATCTTCTGTAAAAATATGATTCACGCCTTTTTTAGCGCGTTTTACGGTGTGGGATTTATGAGGCGTACAAGGTAATTACTCTGCGGAGTTGGGTTGTTTACTAGTGAATGAAGCGCTTGCATTTTCGCTTAGTTATTTTTGTTGGTCTAATGCTAGTAGATTAAGCAAAACCACTTTGTGGTTTTCGAAAAGGTTATTAAGATCCACTTTGCAGGGTATTGGTAGCCCTCTCTAGTACGTTAGACTACGCAGTTTGGCGACAGTTAAGTTGCAGCTGTTTGAGGTGGACAGCAAAATTTGCACAATACGGTTCTCTCCAGACGCGGAAGTCAGTTAGAACGCAAGGTTCTAGAGACATTTCGTGCGATAGCGTGTTCATTCAAACAGACAGAGGTTAGTAATGCGTTGGAGAGGGAACGCAGGAGGGTAGTGAACGGGACGGGCTTATTTATTCTGGCTGTAGCGCCTCGAATCTTCCCTGAAGTAGCACTAAGCCGAAATAGTATGGAAGGCCACATTACTAACGTACCGGAGTTGAGAGGCTTTCAGCATGGCTCGGAGGCCCTCCTGCAAAGTGGAAACACGATCTGAGGAGACTGAGTCAGTTAAACACACGGTTGCACAGAATGCCGCAGCACCAAAATTACTTTCGTCCTTTTCTTCTGTAGATTTCTCAAATTCATTACGCCAACTTTTATTAATGCAAGTTTAAATTAGCGAAATAAGCAGTTGCAATGCTGAGATTTCGTCATTTCCCCACTTCTTTGGTTTTAGGGTCCTTTGGTCCATAAGACAAAGCATTTGAGGACCAATGTTTCCATCCTCTTGAAGGAGAGACGGTGTCAGCAAGATCAAGAGATTCTTTGTACCCGTTGGACTCTGACCTAGAAAGGCATAGTACAACAAACATGTAACGCTTCAATGTATAGATATGTAGTTCCTACATTTAGCGTTTTCTTCAAAAACCTCTTTTGTGCCGCATGCTAGCAAAGTGAATACATCAACAGTCGTTATGAGCACCATTTTTTGTAACTTGGCTTGCCAAAATCACTATTTTGGTGAGGAAATTGTGCAGTTTGCATGGAAAAGACGGATGCAATCAATGAATGAAGGCCTTATCTATTAAGCTGGAGGAATAAATAGTAAAAGTTATTTAATTTCCATTAGGGAATAATAGCGCAATGTCGAATCTGTCAGCTAATCAGACGTTACATTGCAATTCCGTTGTTTACCATATCAATTGATCAGTTAGACAGCAGTTACATTTTTTAAAATTATCGAGAATCATGTAAATAGCATTGTTAGCTTTACTTGGGGATCATTTTAACCATTATCACAGGTGCAGACACCATCTACTCGTTCAGTTTCTTGAGTTCTAAATAATGTAGTGTTGCTGAGATGCATTTAAGGAGTGGGATTAACGCTTGCTAATGGCTGAGAAACAAGGTCTGCTCCAGTTAACCAACAGGTCAGAGCCTATTAAACACTCGTCCGCTTCGACACGAAAAACTTGTAGGTTGAAATATCTATGCTTTGATGATGCAAATCCTGGGAGCAGTGAAGTGTCTTCTGAGGCGGTAATATTGGCCATCCATGGTCCGTCAGATAAACTGCACACTGGCGCAATCACCTCTGAGCACAGAATGCATCGTAGCGCCAAAGTACTTTCTCACTACAGATAATTCTGGATAAAACTGTAAAAACCGTTAGGAGTTTGAGGGTTACTAACAGAAATGACATAGACGAAAAGGCATACGAACAGGATGGAAACCGAAACCATAAATAATAAAGTGGCTTTTAGCAATCCCAGCAATGCGGCCGTCATCAACTGAGTGAAACATTTGTCCTGATAGTTACAAAACACTCACTGATACAACTACCTGATGGATACGCTCTTGGTCGGTTTTAATTGCTTGTTGCTATTAGACGGGATTCCGCTGGCGGTATTCGCCGTGGCGTGCTGCGGATTAAGCAGACATTTGAACAATTCCACGACTACCTTCAAGACGGAAACAGATTTTGTGATGGTGATGAATCACACCCGGCCCACATCTCATCACCAGAACATTGGTGCGTAAATCAAGCGTAAAAATCGCACATTCAATTTGAGTTTAACTTGGAATTTTTAGCGATGGATAAAGGTTATAATGGTAGCTGATATAAATATTCAAGTGATACTTAGACCAGTATTGGGCTGGAGCTGTATACTTGGCGACATTATTGTTCCAGCTGTGGCGTTGGGGGATTGACACCCCAGGAACTAACCTAAGGATCAGAAAATTGTCTTTTACAAATGGGCAATCTGAAAGAGTATGCCTCGGGTGGATAATAAATGACAGTAATGCCTGTTAAACAGCCAGTTCTGAATTACTTCACAGTCATAAGGGAGAAGATATAATTATGCGCCATTTCCACTGTGATCTGGTATCGCCATCTTCAACCCAGGTAAAATCTGATAGATCATTAGGCTATCAGTTTAGAAATGATTGAATTTTGTAGTAATGCGGACCGGAAAGCCGCCTTATTCGACTTTATTAGTGATGTCTGCTATTTGGAGGTGGTTAAAAGCGAGGGTTTTAAATTCACCGTTAATTGGTGGCACGTCAGACGCCAGATCTGTTCTCCGACTAAGGCATACACGTTATGAATCCTAGACGCAGTAAGCTGAGTACTTCATTATCCAATGGTACAGGACTGGAAGTTATTGGACGTTAAAGTGAAAATATATAAGAGGTGGGTGTTTGACCGCCATATCAGTAATGGGGGATGAGGGAATATTAGGACCAAAATCAAGTATCTTAATCAAGTAAGCTAGGAGGCGCTAGCTACCATTTTGATAATCAGTAAGACTATGAAATAGTTTTGGGCATGAATCACTTAAGAGGCAGGTTCTAACGGGTTTTCTCATCACTGTGTTCTTATAAATACCTGAAAGAGGCAAATGATAAAAATGATATGAATTACAGCGTTATTATTGTATGGATTACGTGCACACCCATACCCCATGGTTGTTTGGAGCCATCATCATGGGGTTTCATTTAGCGTATTCGATTACAACGTTTCAAAGATACGTCGTCTTAACATGGATTAAGATCATGATTAATGCTTACTATTTTTATAGTAAAAAAAAAGTAGAGTAGGTCAGTAAAAATCCCGAATGATGTAGAATTCAAGTAAGGAAATCAGCCCGAGCGAATTGCTCGGGGGAGAACTCACTCTACACAAGTGATCCAAAAGGCTTCTCAAAATAAGACCAATTAATTGGGATGCCGTGTATTAAACGCTCCAAAAGTTGGGTAATGTGGAGTGCATAACTTAAAGCATATGCGGGGTGATTGAAGTGGGGCTATTTCATACATTGGCTGGTGCTGCGAAACGATTCTCGGGTTCAGAAGCATTTTGGGCTGTAAATGGCGTTCTCCACGAAATTTAGTATGTGCATTCATACTCTGAGGTAACGCAATCCCCTTCATTCGAACAAGGAAAACTTACATGGAAGTAGAAATTAGTAGCAAGTTTTTGATACAGATTTACGGAACCTTCATCATAAGGAGATAAGCTTCCAGGTCCTTGGTAGGACGGTATTTCCAAGGCTTTCACATAGGAAGCTGTTCGCAACCCAGCAACTGTAACGATATGAAAATTTACCAAATTCTTACTCATTGACAAGGGTTCCCAATTCAACTTCTTGCACTAGATCAGCCCAACTTCATCGCCACTTGAAACAAGGGGCGCATTAGGGCAAGAAACAAACCCAATGGTAGGAACGAAATGCATTGTCGTCCAACCACCGTACTGAAGCATAAATCAAAATAACATAGCGGAGGGAGCCCACAGGCCGAGACATGTAAAAGTGCCCTCACAACGCTACACCCAAGGCAGTAAGACTTAACGACCATAAAGCACCATTTTGATTTCGCACCCAACGCATTGCTATTAAAAAGCTTCAGCATAACTGCTGATCACATGGCCTTATTAACCCACATTTTTGATAAAACGAACCAAAAGAAACGCAAAGATTGAGGCAGAAAACATGTAATCACGTTTAATGAAGCATATTGCAAATATAGGCATGAACAGAAGCAGTAATCGAAAAAAAACTGACACACAATATCTGCAATTAACCACGATTGTCGAAATCGGAGTCAGATGAATCGCCGGGAGCGCGGCGGATAACGGCAGAAGTAATTCTAGCCCCACTACCACCGGTACGTCGGTGCCCTGGACTGCGATCTCGTCGATCCCGATCGAATCGTCCACCACTGTTGCGGGGCATTCCTGCGAAGCATCCACCAACATTGCTGACGCCACAAGATCTTCGTTCATTTCCATCTACATCATCGCATCGACGACGGAGGTGCATACCCTCACCACCGTAACCACCGCCTCCTCTTCTACGTCCACTGCCACCGGCACGATTGTAGCGATCTGAAGTAGTAGCTCTTTAAGAATGAAAACAGCTCACCATGTCAAATGTTCGCAATATCAAAGGGAGTGTAGAGCCCCCAGTTCACTAATGGAATAGGAAACCGCCTCAATATGCCTGGTGTTTGCACCACTAGTCATAACTGACAATGGGAATGAACCAGGAAAAAGTCAGAGGATCAGTCATTGAAACTCACCACAAAAAGGCCGCCCACCACCACACCCTCCTCTATGGCTGCCGTCGCGAAACCTTCCGAATAAATTCCCGATTTCTGCGTGGATAGGTCTTCCATTTATCGATTTGGTCAGACGCTCAGCTTCAGCATGCCGGCAATCAGCTGAATTGGCAAATGTCACTGTTCCCCATCTAGAAAACATGTCAATTCTAAGTAAATTGAGCATTAAAAGATATGTCGACACTCAACAGACCCTTGAGATCGGTTTTCTCCATCGAACACTATAGAAACACTGACTGCACGCAGGAATTCCCGGATCAGATCGTCTTCTGTCACGGACCACGCTAAATTGCGCAGCGTGCAATCGGGTCTTTGACAAAGATAACTGCCATAATCTCTAGGATTATGCTCGTCACCAGGTCCAATGCGGGAGTGATCTGCTAGAGCATATCCACTACCACTATAGCCATCAAAATTATGATCTAGAAAACCAGAATTTCGTCATACACCAAGACAAACGGCTGACTCATAACTGACTAAGGCGCATATCATTATTTTAACCTACCTGAGCCAATGGAAGGAACTATCCGGGCCTGCACAGGTCGACCCCCTATGAGTTTGCCATTTTGACATTCGACGAGAGCAGCCTGACAATAGGCATCCGATTGAAATTGTACCAAACAAGAAGATGAAGAACTGAAGAGACAAGGTGCGAGCGGCAAAGAGATTGAAGAGGCAAGCAGTGCATGTGCTTGAAGTCACTCGACACAGGCACATCATGATTGCTCAATCAATGGTTTGCGCTCTCTCAAGGAGCACATAGTATCTGTCCGCGAGGGAGCTCGGTCCACGAGTTATCAACCCACTCGTTGTGGTACTGCGCGTGATAAGATAAACCTGCTCAGGCAGCGCACAAAAACAAAAAGATAAAATACTAGTTAGGCCTCCCAGGGGAAAAAACCACGAAGATGAGAAAAAGAAGGGCAGAAGTTATAAAAAGAACGCCCACCCCCTTCGCTGACACGAGATGCTGACAGCGGCGGGGAAGAGAGGGTAGAGGTCGGCCTCGCTCAACCCTCCCGGATAGTCGTACACACACAAACTACGCGAATCTAGCGCGCTACGGCAGTCACCCACGGGCGGCGATACACGGTACAGGTTGCTCATCTAAAACAAGAACACTCGCTACAACTCGCGATTGCTTTGACCTTTTCACGAGTTCAAAACAAATGCATGCAGAGAAGGAGCCCAAGCCATCGAGGAAGCGGAACCCAGGAATGGAAAGAAATCACGAATGCAGTTTAAAATAGCGTCGGCCGCTTTATTACATTTACTTGATTTACACATAAATCACGATTATTTTTTGAAAGGTCCTCCGCGTCCTCTCGCCCCACGACTACCACGGTTCTGGAAACCTCCGCCGCCACGGCTTCCACGATGAGGGAAGCCGCCGCCTCGTCCTCCGCGACCCCCACGTTTTCCACCACCACTGTGATCTTTAAAAGCAGAATCCTGGTCCCGCTTTGGCCGCTTCGACACTGGAGCATCCTCTTCAACACCACTGACAGACTCACTACCTTCCTCAACCATATCATTCTCTGCGTCACCGACGCTATCATCCTCACTATCGCCTTCATCGATCTCCTCATCACCGGATTTATCTTCCTCATCATCCTCTTCTTCAGATTCGCTTCCCACTTGAGCAGGAAGCACTGCCTTAGCCTTGTTCTCTACCCGAGGCTTCGGCTTTTCGGTTCCCTCTACAACGCAAAATGACGATAAAGCAACCAAAATTAAAGAACACAATACTTTTGGGGCTGGCGGCACTCTGTTTGTCAATCGAAGGATCAGCAGACTGGTCTTGCACCTTCGTCTTGAGAAGCCTTCCCTTAAGTTCTTTCTTAGCGCCCTCCTTCGCCCCAGCCTCTGCTGCTTCCTTGGTCGTAAAGTATACGATTGCGTTACTTAAACAGAGAAACAGATTACCGGCCATGACAAATTCAAACGCCAGGAAAACCAAGTGAAATCGCACCTTACCCATTGAATCGGCCATTCTTTTTCCTCATGAAAACATTCCTGCATCCAGGAAAAGCAGCTTTCAGTTCATCGGCCGACACAGCGAATGCGATATTGGAAACAAAAACAGGGTAGTCGACAGCAGATTTGTCGGAGGTTATAAAACGCAAAGTGCGCCCCCCCATGATCTTTCCTTCCGACTCCTTAAGAACTCTAGCCCTATCCTCTGCGCTACCGAAGCTAAGCATGAAACACCCCCTTCGCGTTAGCTCAACCTTTTTGGCAGATGGAAACTGCTTCTTAACGTCATCAATCTCGGCGCTAAAGGGCACATTAGTAACGATCAGTGAGGTTTCGGTGACAGGGTTGAAGTTGCTTTGGGGTTTCAAATATACTTTAACCTGCACATCACCGAATTGATGATTCTGAAGTGCTTGGAAAGCCTTTCTTGCGTCATCTTCGGAGTTACAATCAATGTAACACGCGTTTGTCAGGTAATTTTTGGGTCCTGAGGTCATAAGACGCAGGTGCTTCGGCTCAATACCAATAACCTTTAGAATCTCCTTCTCCGTTATGGACTTCGGAAGAGACGCCACAAACAAGCATGTGAGAGGAGCGTCAGGCCGACCCGGGTGGGGGTTTTTATTTGACCGAATCATTCCAATATCGCCATCTGTAACCGGCACAACGGCAAGAGTATCTTGACTATAAGCCGCCCCAGAACATGCCGAAACTGCCTTTTTTGCGGCTGCATCATCTGCAAACCCGAGAAGAGCGACCGGCGAGTTGATGCAGGATATCGACTCTGGATGCACATTGCGCTTTGCGAGGAAACCATGTAATTCATTCTCGTTTAGTCTCGGGATGTTAAAGAGCAGAATATTAGATGCCGACACTCTGAACTGCTTTTGCACCCCCACTTTTTGCTCCGACTGTTTGGCAGTAGCCTTCAACTTTTCCTGATTGGACTTGACAGGCGTTTGCTGATGCTGTGTCTTTTCGCGGGAGTTAGCCAGCTTAACAACCTTTTCAGGAAGCTCATCCTCAGTATCGCCATTATGGTCGCTATCGTCCTCATCGCCATATTCTTCACTATCTTCGTCGGAATCGCCCTCGATCTCTTCTTCAGCATCGAGTTCCGTACTACCAGAATCGTCGGCATCCTCAACAATCATTTGTTTAAGCTTCTTAACTTGCACCGCATCAAGTTTGGTTCCTACGTCTTCGTCATCTCCGCTGTCTTCTTCCCGGGGTCGTTTCTTCCCAAGGATTTTGGTGGCGGGAGCCCCATTTGCCTTCGAGTTTTGTGCATTGGGATCTGTGAAAGGGATAATGCCCAAATCAAAGAAGAAAAGCGACTCAGCAGTGAGATTAAAGTCAAATTTCACGTAGTATCAACAACAGCACAAAAACTCACTTCGATTCTTCTTTTGAGTCTAAAATGCAAAGCAAACGCAAGTCAGCAAACACTTCGATAAGTCTAAAGACCAAACACAAGATGATAGATAAACGGCATTATACAAACGACACAAAACCAGTAAATCAACACAGGGGAATAATCCCATCCGTAAACACATGTAAGCCCACCATGACCATGGCGTGCAAGAGACGACAATGGAACTCCACGTGAGATGGTTTCCCAGTGGGTATTTAAACAAATAGCTGTGTGAACGTGGTCTGTTATTATTTAAATATATTTTTCGTCTATTCAAAATACATGAGCTCTCCCTCTGAAATTTTGTTTTGTAAGACCTTAAACGGATTTACGTTCGAAAACTAATGGCACTAATTGCTACTTTATGTAATGAGTTTTCAATTAAATTAGAAGACATATTCACTTTTTGAGTGCATAATAATTGTGCTTACAGTGATTGCGTCAAAAATTGTACGCCTATCTTAATACATGTTCTTTGGGTTACGTAACTTTAGATAGTGGTAACTTGGGCAACACCTGTAGCACCTGGAGTCTCTTTCGAAGCGGAAAGAAGTCATATTACTGAGGTAGAAGGTGTATTATCAACGCAAAGAAGAGTCAAGTGTCTATTGGCTTGGCCTAGAAGCTATGCCACTAAGCGTGGGTAAAGCCTTAAGCACCCTCGCAATCAAAACTTATAGTTAAACAAACAAGCAAAGTGTTATTCTGCTGTCGGCCTTTGGTGGGATACAGCTTCCGGTTTTCCGCCGAACCTATATGGTTCAGTTTTTTCCGTTTAGAGCTGTAATAACTCAAAGTTGTGTAGCAGAACGCATGCCACCAACATGGAGAAGAGCTGAAAGAGCAATGGCACAACTCGAAGGCCGCTTCTGAAAATCGAGATGCAACCCGCTGAAACTCAAGTGCTGTCACAAATGCAATGCACAGTTAAACAAAACTGCCAGTCCCTACAACACATTATGTTTTCAAGAAATCAGTATTTTCCTCTATAGTATTTGGCGTCAGGGATTCGATTGCAGCAACAAAGAGGTCCCTGCAAACTAAACGGCTTTCGGGAACTTGACTTTCAACTTTTTATAAGTTAATAGGTTCTGCCTCATTTTTGCGCACATTTAGAATCCTTTAGAACGGGCGAGATTGGTGTGTTACTGGGAGGGTACTTTGTATTTTGGAAGTCATTCGTACTTTCCAATTTCTTAAAGTAAAATCCTACGTACGTGAGAAGTCCTAATAGTCGAAAGTTCCGAGAGACTATGTACTATTAAAATATATAAGGACTGTAAGGCCTTGAGCAAGACTAAAGTGTTATGCGTCCGAGCGGAAATACTATCCGCATGAAACAAAAAGTCGCTGCAGAGTTTTGCACAGGTGGGTGTTTTGAGCTTATCCTCAGATGAACAATACCAGGATGGAAGAGGGTTTTTCAACCAAACGTATTTCTTAAAGCCTTACAATGACACCCCGAGACAGAATAGCAGAATTTTAGCGTCCAGAAAGGTCGTAAGCCATAAAATTGACTTAAATGTTTAACTTTGTCTTACTAAGGCATCCCCATGAATACAGATGGAATTAAACTAATAATTGCACGTCAATTTTTTTGGTGCGGCAGTAGATAAATCAATGGGTATTTAACTGTACGTTTTAGCCGCATCAATATTTTAGCTTAAGTAGTAAAAATTCTCACTGGGAGAAGTGGCCCTATGAAGTCTAACCCGCCCAAACTATTATATGTCCTAATAACAGGTCTTCTTTTGTACTGATACGGCTTACGTCAAGTGACGTCGAAATCCTTTCTGAAGTTGCAATGAAATATATGCTTCTATGACCACAGGGAAAAGCGAAATACCCCTCACAACACCCTGCATAACGTTTGTAATACTAAACCTGTACTTACCTTAATAATTAAGCACTCTGGAAAACGTAGTGAAAGTAACCCCTGTACCAAAACTCAGGGTCAAACAAACAACCAAGTTTTACTGCATAGTCTAATATCCTTTATTGAAGGTTTCTCCCGGTGCTCTCTTTGGTCAGCTTCCTGCGTTAGCCTTCACAACGTGGTCAACGCTGCAAAAAAACACCCACGAGTCAACCATGCCAGTCATAGTGTAATACGATAGTGGTTTATCCCGCGGTATTGATGAGGCGCCACTTTTGTACTTGGAATTAGCCCTCTTGTTCCTGGCTGGGTGGGCTGGCCTTCGGGCCATGCCAGTAGCCCTTAGCCGCCTTCTCTGTGCTGAATATATATTCTGCCCGAGTATTGCGTCCTCTTTCTTCTTCAGGGAGTCTCAGAACGCTACAATGGAATCTTCTTTTAACTTCTTTTTAACCGCAATGTCATCGACTTCTCTTGGTAATTCTATTGGGTTTTTTGGTTTTGCCTCCTGTGGGAACTGGATTCGATGTCGGGGTAGTGTGCTGGCCACCACACATATCATAACCTGGAGTAGGAACGATGTCCTAAAAGCAGAGGCAAATGACGAAGGATTAGGTATTGGGGCTATTCCTTTTTCCCACTTCATTCTCACTTCAGAGCTGCCCTGCCATATCTGTTAGGGTTCAGTCCAGCCGATACTGAAGTGGGGGAGGCGGTCGTGTAATCACATGATTGGTATCTTTATGCAGAAATGGTAGACAGCTCCGTAGCGAACTTCTTCAGAGGGTTACTAACCACGGGTAATGGCACTTCAGGTAGTATTAGCATGCCTGCAGGACACGGGACTGGAGTAGGTGCTAGGGGTCGTCACAGATTCTCCCGTCCGCTGCATATGCACTTTTTTGCCACTGTAATATTTAGTTATCTGTAAGAAAAATCAGAACAGATGTCCACTGGGATGTGGTTTGCTTTCCGCTGCCACCAGTGTAATCCCCGATGTATTCTTTTTAAATGCAAGAAAACATAATGTTTGAGCAAAATATGTATTTCCGACAAGCAAAGTGGCTTGAAGGTTAGTGTTATGGTCCGATGTTTAGGTGGCATAGCAAATACGCAATAGTGAAGCCCCTAAGAGGTGTGTTATTTGAACCGATAGTTGAACAAGCAATTACATTTTTCATTACCTTATTTGTGTTGAACCTACTCACCAATAGTTATTATGTGTGTAAAAAACACACATTTGGCTCAATTGAGGAACCGTTAGTTATAGGTACAGTTGCAACTAGAATAAGGCATTCAAATATATTTGTTTAGTCGATTCACTTTAGCGTTCTATTTCGGGGTGTGGAGAAGTGGAGAAAACAATTGGGTTGCCGTCAGTCATCGATGGTTCGGAGTATGTGGTAAACACCTCATTTTTAATGACAGTCACCGAGGAATTGGTCCGCAAACGAGCAGAACATAATGAGGGGGAAATATGTAGTCTGGAGGAACTAGCACTTCACCAACAGGATATTGAGAAGTATTTTACGTATATTTCTTTCTGCCAGAATCGAATTTCTAAATAAAAACTGTAAAAAACTCAGGATTTTGTATCTGCAGAACAATCTTATCTCCAGAATTGGTATGGTTTGTATTGTTTTACTTTTCCTGCAGAGAATATTAACCGTTTAAAGGAACTGGAATACCTTAATTTAGCTCTAAATAATATTGAAATAATTGAAAACTTGGAAGGTGAATTTATATGTGTAGCCCAATTTTAGGTTGTGAATCTCTAAAAAAACTCGAACTCACAGTGAATTTTATTGGTGATTTGACTAGCGTGGAAAACCTGATAAATTTGGAAACTCTTGAAGAGCTGTATTAAAAAAGTTTTAATTACTCCTAAAGTTATTTGATAGGGAATCCGTGCACCGACTATGCTGGGTACAGAGAGTATGTCATCGCTACATTGCCCCAATTAAAGGTACTTTAAATTAGTCTGGTGACTGTCAAAGATACTAGATGGTGAAGAAATCGGAAAAGCTGAACGCATCACTGCTTTTCAAAATCTTTCGAAACATTACAAATCTATACTGAACTCACAGGAAGAATACTTTCACAGAAGGGTATGCGGGCTTTATTAACTGCTCATATTCAGGCCCATGAGAAAGTTCAGGCTCAGCAACGGAAAGAAAGGTTTTCGGAAAAGTTGAAGGAAAATAATGGGTGATGCATTGATAATTGTTATTATTATTGGTGTATTGTACCATGCATCTTATAAGTTCATTTATTATTGCTATTGAGGTTTGTTAAACTTTTGTAAGTGTCTGAGTACATAATTCGCATTTGTTTACCAATGCTTAATAATTGCGCACAAATGCACGTTTTTTGCATTTTCTGTTTATGTAATTTTTCATACTATCTTCTTACGTATTTTTCTTATATCCATCCGTTGGGTCCTTCTTTAACAACCTTATTAGCCACTAATTTGATGGATTCTGGAATACTACTGCAAATGTTAATAAGTGGCTTATTCTATAGGCGCAATTTAAACGATCCATTTCAATTACTAGTCAGAGTTTTTTTACGTTTTGCATTTCTGTTTGGTTAGGGTGTTAAACATAGATGTCTGCCCTGCAATTTTTACTTTATTGGGCATTAGAGAATACGTTTGCATTTTGGAACGTCTTCCAATTAGGAGTTGCATGATTCATCGTCTAGGCTCATAACAAACAAGTGCTTTGTGAAAAGTTTATTTGTTTCATACCATATTTATTTGGTCAAAAGACAATACATTTGCTTGTTTTAGCAGTTTGTTTGCTCATTTCAGTGATATTGGAAAGATAGCTGAAGAATTTTGGCAAGAGAAGGGTCCTTACACTCCGGAATCACGGAGTGAAACATATGAGTTTCTTCGCTTACAGAAAGAACAAGAATCTAAGAAAACTACCTCTTATGAGTGGGCTAAATATGCTTTTGTCTGTTCTTTAAATAACATAGAAGTTAATACCTTCGCTAAATTTACCTTCTAGATTCAGTGTATGGATATGTCGGGTTTTTAAGTGGAATCCTTTTTTTTGGTCGCAAGATGTGTATTATAATTGATAGTGGCTTGGCTTAGCATAGTATGCTATACAAGAGCAAGTTTAGATACACTGTGGTTTTGTATTTTGAAGGAAGACGAAGCCGAGGCGAAAAGTTTTCTTTGCTGAAGATGGTCGGCCTTACAACATAAATGAGCCGAAGTAAGTACTTTTCCCTAGTAGAGACCAGCTATTCAATCTATTTTATTTCAGGAAACAACGAAAAGGGACAAATGGGTTTATGAAGCTATCATTTTTCAAGCCAAAGAGCCCGACAACTATCTGGTGCAGTTACAGAAGTGATTTATTGCACTAAAATAGTAATAAGTAGAATTGTTAATACCTCAACAGCCAAAATTACAATTATCACCTCCATCTCGAGGGTGGAGGAGATAGAAATGGTTTCAGCAAAGGAAAGTAAATGAAAAGGATCTTAGGCGAGGGTAGTGAGTGGGTGATGTCCCTCAGTTGGGTGGTCTGCGATGTCCTCCACGCAAATGAGATGTAATTTGTAACTCATATTTTTAAATGTACTATTTTCCACTTATGTGGTTACCATTTTGTAGAGTCGAATTTAAATTTTACGAAGAAATCAAGGGGAACGAGCAATACTTTGTGCTAGATGTCGCTGCTTACAGGTGAGTTCTCTGGTGTGGCATCCTTTGAAGTATGCAAGAACCTCCCCCGAAGTGATGGTGAGAAACCAGATTAATTTGGTATAAAATTTAGTAATAATGAGAATAATACTTAACCAGCTAAAAAAATTTGACTTATGCCAGCAATGAGAATCTACAATTGCGTGTTCTTATGCAAGTGGGAAGTATAGGTTTCGGGCGTTCAGTGTGTACTGGAATAGCAGCCAATAAATAGTATTTATTTAATTAGCCATTAGGGGATTGAGAAGCCTCGATTTGGATCTGATGTAAAATATTAGCTGAAATTAAGTGCCTAGTGACAGAGAAAAAGTTTTGAAGAAAGAAGCACACCGGAGTTGATTTAAATGTGATAACTTTGTCAGCGCATTGTACCGCACGCGACTACTTGACTCTGACTGCAGCGGTGCTTATTCTCCAACACCAGGCTTTGGCCGCTCGAAATTATGTTCTCTCGAATGGGACCCTTTGAAAGTCTAATGGGGAAGATTAACCACCCTTTTGTATTCTGTTTTTTATGATGGTGCTTTAAATCGAATATACAGATTAGTAAAACAAGTGCTTTTGACGCGGGTTGATAATTCCGGTGCCTCCTTTTATTGGTCCCAATCTTCGTTGCTTCCATGTGTCTAAATAACCTGTTAAGAATTATAGAAGACATTTTTTATCAAATTTTTGCTAAAAGGGCCTCACTGAGTAATTTTTAACAAGATACACTGTGCAACCAACACTTGCAATAAGTTGTCCTGTGTTAAAGAGCTTTATAATTTCATCTTTCTAGGAACATGGATACCACTCTAATTGACTGCGATGTACAGACGAATTATGTTCGTGTAACACTGAGAAATAAGGTGGGCTTTGACCTCTTATGCGGGTAATCATTCGCTTGTCTGAGCAATTACATCTCAGCTCAGTGGGCAAAAGGCCTAGCTGATACAGATTGAAAGAAGGATTAAATGCATTTATTTGGAGGAGAGTATTAACGGGTGTCAAATTTCGTAATAAGTGGAGTCAGATTTGAGCAGACTATTACGTATAACTGTCTTTAAGGTGTTCCAAATGGCTCTGCCTGAAGAGGTTCATCCAGACAAATCTTCAGTCCAGCGTTCTCGTGTGACCGGTCGACTGCTCGTTCGGATGCCCAAAGTCAGGGTGGGCAGTCTTTTTCGTCCCATTTTTGCTTTACTCACCCTTAAATCTGATTTGATGTTCATTCTCCTTGCGTATTCACTTTAACTTAAATTCAATGGCATCCGAAATGAACAAATGAATTTCGTGTGTTTGGTTTCATTGGGTATCTTTTTATTCACGAATATATTTAATTTTGTTTATAGGCTTCTTCAATGATTGAACCTCGGATTGTACAGGCAAATCACACCGCCGGTTGTATAGAGAAAACAGAAAGCAAAGAGTAAGCTTTTATCTATTTTCAGTAAGCGTTAGAGTGAGGTTTTTATGACTTTTAATTAAAAAAAGCAAAAATAAAGACAACTGGTTAATTATAGAACAGAGTATCATAATCAAGGGGTATTCGAAATGCTTTAGGGAGAGAGGATAATATTAGAGACTCAGCATCCTTCTGTAACCAGCTTTTGATAAGCACCCTACTCTCCTTTCACTTAAGACGGTGAATTTGGGATTACTTACAATTTACTTTACAGAACATTATTTCTGTAATGAAATTATTACGTTGCTACGTCTATGAGATTACTTTTAATGATTTAAGGTATGTTTTATGTGTCAGTATTGCAGTAACTAATCATTTCAATGGCCAATTAATTATGTAATGGAACCAGTAGCAGGTATCCCCAGATAAGGGTAGATGGAAACTTAGCAACATGGCACTTGAAAAATTTTGTTTTGGCTGTTTTATTTCATCTTGCTACAGAAAGGGCAAGGAACGAAAGTCCAATTTTCTGACGGTGGGAGAAACAAAAGCGTCAGTGGACTGGCGAAACATCACGAACACTGGGGACAGCCACTTGCGCGACTTGGAGATGGCGAAGCGGGCACCGGTCAACCGCCGTAAGGAGAGGAAGAACAGTCCCAGTTTTGTTGACAATCCTGACGTCCCGCCTCTTGAATAAACATGTGATCCTAAAGGGTGGAACGAACAAATTTTGATTGTTTCAAATAAAAATATTATAGTGTTCTTCAAAGCCTACAGTAAACACTCAACTAAGTGCGAAGTAGAGGCCACATCGACAGTTGAGCATTCACTAATTCATGAAAGTTCTCCTTTAGACTGATTAAGGTATCGCTTTGGGACATGATTTTTGAGAGAAGTTTTACCCGTGACTGGGGTTATTTGCACAAAGTATTTCAATCCCTTTTATGAGGTGACAAAAATAAATGCGAGCCTTTTGTGACCATAAGTCTGGCTACGACATGAGGCTGAATTAAATGTGGCTAAGCACCCGAAATTCGCTAAAATAGCCAGAAAGTAGTTGAAATGAACGAGTTTTATAAGTGTTTTTCGAAGAAAAAACTACTGCTTGATTTTCATAGAACTCAATACAATGCTCATATGAAGTGATTTTTGTGCCTACCCAAAGGGCAGCTTCGAGCATATTTTCGGAGAGTGCATCAACTTTAACTTGACACTCTTTATTGAAATATATTTCTGAAGACCAAATAGGATGTCATTTGTATGCTCCACCCTTTGGGAGAAGAAAACAGCAGCTGTCGAGTTATTATGACGAAATTCAGATTTCGTTTAAAACTGATTGTAATGTAAAAATTGTGCACGTCCCCAGTCTAAGAATTCCTGCTCCTTAAGTGCTTAGAGGGGATAGATTTCAGTATCTTGCTTAGTCGTAGTGCCTGTTAACAACAAAAGAGAACTCGCGACACCCTCATTTAGACAATTTTGTCCGTCTTCAAAAGGGGGGTGGGAAAGAGCATCTGCGCATGGAGACGCAAAGCTGTGGCTAAGCTACCTAACGTCAAAGCTCGCGAGGTGTGTTCCAGTTCGAAAGTAGGGAGGTGGAGGGAGGGATGCGTTCACCATCCCCGCATCAAATATTTACAAGGTTAAGCCCCGACAACGAAAGGCGTGGATGGATGAATCGCTGCTGCCCGTGCCGTTGCTGCAGCTGCCTTTTCGTCTCATTTCAAATGCATGTCTGATTGACAGCACTCGGGGCAATCTTGATAAAAGCCACCCTCGGGTTCACATGCCTGCGCGTACCCCAACCCCTCTCCCCGATACACACACCATGATTGGCACTTGGGTGCGGGCGGCGAACAGGTTGGGGGGCGTTCAATCGGTTGCTGATCTCTGGTCGTAAGAATCGCTTACAGGCCTCAAATTTCAGAAACGATTTCTTTACTAACTAATGCGCAATGTCAATGAGGATGGCTGAATACTATAAGTGGTGCAAGTGTACTTTTTAACTTCATATCACTCTTTCATTCACTGATACGCGCATCATAGATACGAAAGCACTGCCACCTACTGCTTGCATTCCATTAACCAGCATCAAAATAAAAGTTAGTAAAAATGTGGTGCTTTGGGGCAAAAATTATTAGTTATTTCAAAAAAGTATTTTCATTTCTGTGATATAACAATATCACAATAGAACTGGGTTCAAAATAAGGGAACTAAAGTACAAGGAAATGTTGATTCAGTGGGAAAATCAACACACTCAAAGCATACTTCTCTATAAATAGTGGCACCTATGTGGATGTGTTGGAGATGGAGATTTTTACAAGCATTGAAGTCAGTTTGGATCAAATGGCCCTAAAAAGGAAGCGGTTACATTACTGAGAAGTTTGCAGGACTGCCACAATTTAAATAGTGACAGTAAAAGCAGCATTGCTGAAATTCTTTTAGTACAATAGCTTTGTTCTGTCACATTACTCTCTATTACTATTGTAGTAATTCTTCCCGCTGATTGAGAGGATTTCCGCTCCAATCCTGATTCATCAAGCAGTTTTAGAAATATGGTAATGGCAACCAATGCAAAACTTATTTTAAGCCTCTCATCGTGGCTATCTCCTGAAGGTGAAGGTAAAGCCTAAAGACGTACTTGGCATGGGTTGGCGTATTTGCTAGTAAATACTTAATAGTCCGTCACCATCTCATCACTCTGAAAAGGAAATGCATTTTCGACAGCTGCCAAGACGATAATCACTCAGCCCTTCTTCCTATATCCCTCCCCCATCCCATTCTCCCAAGATTCCCCACTTCTCAATCACGCACTTATTTCACCCCACCCCCTCGTTGCCTCGTTTGGTTGCTCGTTTACTCGCTATCTTGTTTTCCTTCCTAATGCATAATTTACACGTGCTGCAGTGTTCGCATTCCTCCTCTCCCCTCTCTGTCACTGCGGTGGGTCAGGTCTGCCGGGGTGGGTCCATGCACCCATGAGAAAGTGAAGTAGCAAAATTTGAGTGGTTACAGATCCCAATGGGAAAAGTTACTTGCCCACTGAAAAAATACGAGTGCAATACCGTGGTGGTGGGTTTTTTCCTCTGCTACCAATCTTGGGAAGGTCTCTAATGATTGCCAGTGCGGACTTGGAAACAATGAAAGGAAAATGTGTACACTTATCACAACATTCACTGGGAAAAAATTCTCCTAAAGTCAATCAAGCGAAGATGAGCAGTTGTTGGCTTATTTTAAGTCAAAGTAATGCTAACTGACGATGCAGTTTTATAATAAAAACGTTTGCCAACAGAGGGTAATTCAATAGCATTTATTTAACTGAATGATCGTATCACTGAGGTATCTGTCGGAAGGATTCGCATTCAAGCATAGTCCAAGTTACCCCTCCAATAAACACATTGAAGTAGTTGTTTGAGGTTTGACGATAGCTACAGCTTACAAAGATTATCAATGTCCCATTTTGCATACGGAAAGACCAAAAAATCATCAAATTCCCATCACTCATGAACTGATGCCAAAAAGTCCAAGATCGCTTGCGGTGACAAAGGTGTATGGCTTTAAATGTTCAGCCAATTTAATTGGCTTTGCGGCAGGATCCACACCCATTGCCCAAGGGATCAAGATGTATGTTTGCAGGCTTACTGAACATCTGCAGTGGTGGATGTGTCTAAATGAATTTCTAAAAAAGCTTTCATGTAAATTTTAAGTTTTTTATCTGCAGGCAAACTATTTTGGTACAAAAATGCAGTACCCTTAGGTAAACAGAATTCCAATCTACTAGAAATGGTTTTATCATCTGTATAAGTGGTTCCTTTGATATAATTACCCCTTTTTCACTGTCAAAAAGAATAGGCGGTAAAACAAATCCACTAGATCGTTTCTGGTCTCGGGCATTAATTTAGGGCATAGATGACGAAAGCTAGAAAAAATTTCAGAGCGTAAGTTCCCATCACGACCACTACTTCACTATGCTGCTTCGAGATACATATTTCATCACAAGGACACCGCATCCAGACATGTAGTTTTTAAATTTCACGAGGGAAAAAGGGGGGAATGCCGTTTGCAACCCCACTTGCTGATGTGTCAATCAAGACACAGCCACAGCGCCAACACAGCCTAGTCATGGCCTTACCCGTGGCTGTAGTGACATGTCCAGAAGGTTGGATACGCCTACTCCATGATTTGTGGGACTGCAGTGGAGTCCAACACAAGAAACCAAATTAATTTGTAGAAAAGGCAATCAACTATGTCGGGATTGTAAGCATTCATGATATAATTATAGACTAGTAACGTCACAAGTCCATTTTAACTTGAAAAAAGCATATTTCGAAAAAGTGACAAATTAAAAAAAATGCTGATCTGATGTATGCAAATTTGTTTTGCACATTATCAATGTGATATGAATATGTACGATTTGGGTAGACTGATAGGGCAAGTCCGAGTCAGCAGCAGTAGCCATTTCCTAATTTTTGGTGATTAACTTTATCATTAAAGGTTTAGTAAAACCTTCCCACATTCAAGAGGTGATGGATTTTGATTGCGAAGTAGTTCATTGTGCTACCGCAATTATTAGCTTTTCTGATCGCCTAACTAGCAAAAAACCTTTCTCAATCTCTCATCATAACGTGATTTTTTGATAATCAACACAATAGGATCCACTTTCTAAAGAGGCTGTCATTTCATTCTGTGTGCATTGGCCAGATGGAAGACATGATAAAATTACCCCTTGTGAATAAGCAAATAGTAATTAAGATAGATTGCCAATCCTAATTACAGCATTAAAATTTCGTTTTACTTTTCCTTCTAAAACCTAGTAGGTGCATTCTTCAAACTTAATTACTGCCATTTGGGGAAATTTCATCGTACAGTTTTGAAAGTCTCAGATATTAAAGGCTAATACCTATCATTTGTGAACAGAAGCCAGCCTACCTACCACTTCACTCACCTCATTAAATGACATTAGGGAAGGTATATGTAGCACCCTAAATAATATTACTTGGAGGCAATAGTCGCACAAGCACAGCACAATTAGCTGTGGGAAAGAGGCACTTCGGCGCCACCACGGTAGGTGTCGGCGTGCACACCTATCAATAATTTCACAAGAAAAAATAAACAAGGATTGAGAATAATGAAGCTGTAATCAAGTAAAAGTTAAGGCTTGGTACAAACGAGGTTTCACTGCAGACAGCATGCACTGCCTCCGTCATAGGAACAGTCAACCGTTCTTTTTGGAAACACGGTGTTTGGACGAAAAAAGGGAAGTCCGTTATGGTGCACTTTCTGGGAAGTCTGAAAAAAAAATTTTTCCATTATTGAATCTTTCTTAAATAGGACTGCGGGGGATGCATATTGAGCATGCGATTCACTAGTTGAGTGAAAAATTAACCATTAAACATGGGGCCTTATTTTGTAGTTATTTGACGACAGTGTGATGGGAGAGGAGAAATTGGCTCCTTATCCATGAATAACTCATTGTTTAATTGTCATAAGGATAACTAGGGTGTAAATTTTGCAAGGCATGCATTTTTTTGAAAAAAAATGTTTGTGAAACAGTGAAGATGGCTGATGTACGTGCGTGATAAATCATGATGCCTGGGAGTCGGAAGTAAGGAGAAACGCATCATGGCCGGAAATGCTGTTGCATTCTTGCCTGCTTTAGTTGCCCCAGTGAAATGAGGTGAATCAAATCCACGGAGCATTAACACCAGCAAATTTACTAATTCCGGCATTTTTGGTGTGGCTGATGCAAAAATGCACGTGTGGATGGATGGATGGGTGGATGTATGCGCGCACGCAGAATTTGTGGCGTTATTTTGACTTATGAAACTTAACCAAACCTCATGCCGCATCCCCCACTCGTGTGGACCCCATGGTTTCTCACTTTAAAAAATATAGTTCACTTTTAAGTCACCTCATTGAGAACAAGGCAAACATTTGAAAGTTTATTTGGTATTTAAAATAAAAAATATGGCATTTCTGTTAAAAAAATTGACATCCG